TCGCGGGGCCGGGAGCGCGGCGCGGCGGGCTCTGGGGGCGGCGGCTCCGGGTGGGCCTCCATGGCCGTCCCGTCCAGCGCCTCCAGGAAGTCGAAGCTGCGGCAGTGGCGCTTGTTGAAAGGCGCAGGCGCAGCAGGCCGGGCCATGGAGCGCTCACATGGCGGGCGCCTCGACGCGGGCCCCGGGGCCGCCACCTTGATGTCCTGGTACACGGTCGACACCAGCAGGTCCGGCGGGTCCGTGCGGGTCATCTTAAAAAAGGTCCCCGGGCTGGTGGCTGCCGCTCACTCGGCCTCGCGGGGCTTTCGCCCTGGGAGGAGATGCAGGTCAGGGTGGCTCCTGCGCAGCCTGGGCTCCACTACCCCCCTGCGCTGGCCCGGCTTACCTGGGGCACAGTGGGCAGAGCAGCCCTGGCTGCGGGCCTTGGCCCAGGCCGCAGGCACTTGCTCCATGCTGGCGTCAGGAGCACCTGCAGGAAGAACCCAGCTGTTCAGCCACTCAGGTCCTGCCCCTGCCCCAGACCATCCTTTCTGGGCCACTCTCTGCAGGGATGGGCCAGGTCAGCCAGAAAGGTGATGCCATTGCTGTGGTTCCAGAGCTGCTGCCCCCAGGCCGATGTTCCTGAGCCTCCCCTGCCCCCACTAGTGACTGCTGGCCAGAATTGGGTAGACCTCCCTTTCCTGGGACAGGCCACCCGCAGGGTAGGAAGAATGGGGGTGTGGTCCCGGGACCACCTCCTGGTGTCCACAGGTGGAATGACCACATGCTCATTGGAGCCCTATTTACAGACTTTGTAAGCGTTGGCTCCACAAAACCTGTGGACTGAAGCCCCCTTCTAGTGCCCAGTGCAGAGTGAGGCGTTGATGGCGCCCTCTGAGGGTGAGTCCCTGGGACCTAGCCTTGACTCACTCTGCACCACGTCACGGAGCCTCCTGCCCCACCTGCTGACCAGGCTGGGCATGGAACCCTCCCCCAGCACTACAAAGGCTGCTGCACTCAGGACAGTCCTCTGTGCCAAGCTCCAGTCCTCTGGTCCCTTCAGGTCCAGGCGTGGCCCCTAGGCTGATGACTGGCCTGCCCCACCCTCGACTTTTCCTGTGGCCCAGACCAGAATAATGCCCTCAAAGAGCTTATCTGGGCCCTAAAGCTCTTTTCTTTGCAGAAACCTCCTCTGAGCACCCCTATTATGGGGCGGCTGAAACCCACCAAGCTCACTAGGGTTGTCATGACAAGGCTCAGAGCTACCCCCTCCCCCAGCTTTGCAGCGTGTGCATGGCAGCCCGGAAACCAGGCCCTGGCTGCAGGACCACGTGGGGGCGTGTGAGCCAGGAGCTCATGGCTGCCCCTCTCCCCTTGAGCAGCAGCGCACGGGGCCAGGAGGCCACCAGCGAGGGAGGTAGGGCTGTGGGCGGGCAGAGTCTCCCCCACTGCTTCTCAGGAGAGAGCCGTCCCCACAGTGGCTCCTGAAGGCTCCATGGAAACCTGAGGTTCCACGGCCCCCGCGATGCAGCTGGGTTGGGGTCCACTCCTCTGCACCAGGCTCATGTTGAGAGTTGGGCCACCGGCCCCTCTGTGGTGCTCAGGGCCTGGACGGGCTGGCCAGGGGCTCAGACGGTGCTGACAGGGCCCCCATCTCTGTACACAGTCTGGGGCGGGCATGCTTCAGGGTGAGCTAGGGAAAGCAGGGGGCTGGGTCCTCACCTGGCAGGACCTCTGGTCGGGTCGACCCTCTGTGTCCCAGGTGTGCAAGGGGCTTCCTGCCAGCGGGCCTGCTCTTCTGGTTCAGGGCCACCAAGGCCCAGTGCCTGTCCCCATCCCAGCCTCACGCCCACCCCAACTCTGTCTCTGGTTCTCAGGACCATCCCCCTCCCACCCCCTTCCATCCTAAGCTCAAGGCCGGGCTGGAATTGGGGCCGGATGACAGGGTGTGGGCTCCGCCCCGGGGAGATGACAGCCTGGCCTTGCAGCTGCGCGGGTGAGGAGCTGGGTTGGGTGACACCCCTCCCCGTGAGGATGGGGGTGGCCAGCCCCGCTGGGGTACTAGGCCTAGCCAGCCCCGCAGGCGGCCCTCCCAGCTTCGCAGCCCTGCACCTGGCCTCAGCCCAGAGTGGGGACCCCTGTGTCGCCCCGGGGGCGGGACCCCCATTCTTGCAGGCGCCCCACCCCCGACAGGGCGTGAGGGGCAGCAGCCCCCGACCCCTTACCTGGGCGCTGCTCCTGGGCGAGCCTGGTGGGCTGTGCAGGCCCACCCTGCTCCGCCAGCCCCGGCTCCGCTGTGTCCCCGGCACCGGCAGAAGCTTCGAGGCACCGGCGCCGGCGCCGAGGCTGCCTGGCTGCTCAGTGCTGCCCCTGATGGCGGCCGGCGGGGATGCACTTAAAGGGGCCGCGCTGTGGGCCTGGGACCTGCGTGGCCTGCCAGCTTCGCTTTGGGGCTGTGGAAGGCGCAGGGTGATGAGCTGGCGGGCACCCCCAGGATTCAGGCCTGGGATCTGACCAGGGGACCGACTCCCAGGGAGCAGCCTGCTGGTCCTGCCAGCCCCCACCTCCAGAACACCTGCCTAGGGCAGCTGGTGGCCTGGCAGGGCCTTGGAAGAGCCCCAAGCCCTGGCCAGGCTGTGGAGCGCTCCCGGAATTCACGCCTCGGGTTGGGCCCAGGCTGGGGCAGATGGGCTGTGCCCCGCCCTGTGGGCCTCTGCGTTGTGGTGTTGAAGGCGCCAAGCTCTCTGCAGGTACCTGGGGCCAGATGGCCCTTACACCCACAGCCTCCAGTCCCCAGGATGCCCAGCCTCTCCCGGGCGAGGGCATGCTCCTGTGCTCCCTGTGTCCAGGCAGGTAGGGGCTGTCACTGCTCTGGGTAGGTCTGCATATGGCCCACTCATAAACACATGGTGACATCCTCCCTCCAGCCCCGCCAGCCCCCTCCCCAAGATGACGCTGAGCCAGGGAACATTTCAGCTCAGCAGAGAGGTGGCTCACAGGTGCCCTTGGCTCCATAGGGCAGGACCTGCCCCATTGTGGGTCTGTTAGCTGCAGGGCCCAGGGCAAGTTCATTTCATGTCGGCCTGATCCCTACGTTAGTGGGCCCCACAACCACAGTGGGGCTCACAGGCTGTGGGCTAAAGGGAGTTGCTCAGGTGTCAGCTTGGTGCCTGGGCCCCAGCGTCTGCCCAGTGACTGCTGTCCCCCTGCCTGCAGTGTTCGGAACTCTCTAGGCACAGGAACTGGGGAAGGGGAGGGGGTCCCACCCTCACCCTACTGTGCCTGTTGGCCTGCCTGCCCCTGGAGGGAGGGGCAGCTCCAACATTCTCCAAGCGGTTCTCATGGCAACTGCGGGGTGGAGGGCGGGGGCTGGCTGCTGCTGGCAGCTGGAGAAGGGAGGGCTGAAGGCTAGTGTTGGGAAGGAGCAGGGAGGCAGTTAGGACAGGACCCAGCCTGCCCTCTGAGGGCTGGGGGCCCCCAGGTGTTCTTGGGTGCAGCTGCCCAGCTCTAGCCTAGGTGGGCTGGGACAGGCACACAGGACGGTGGCTATGCTGGCCCAGCTGGCACAGCACATGGCACGCGTAGGGCCCGGCCTGCTGGGAAGTCCTCTGATACCACCGCAGGCCAGGTGGTGCTGGAAAACCTCCTACCCCAGAGGGCAGCCGCTCCTCTAGGGAAAAGAGCTCTTTGGCCTAAAGGCAGGGAGCTCAGGACCTTCCCACCAACCCATGCTGCTGGGGGACAAAGGGGGCAGCCGGTGGACACGCCCCACCTCGGCTGCTCTGGTTGCTGAGCGGCAGAGAGCACACACACACACGCGCAGTAAAACAGGAGAGCTTTATGGTCGGAGTGAAGTGTGGAAGGAGAATGGAAGGAGATGAGTGTCTGAGAACCTTCCCGGCTGCGGCCGAGCGCAGGGACAGGTGCAAAGCAGGACACCGAGGCCAGGGAGAGCCTCCCCCGGGACAGGTGCAAAGCAGGACACCGAGGCCAGGGAGAGCCTCCCCCGGGACAGGCGCTGGTGCTGCCTGGCGTCTGCACAGCCGTGCCCGGAGGGTCCAGGGGCTCGGGCGGGCAACCGTGGCCGGGCCGCAGCAGGAAGCGGAGCCCACCCGCATGCGGCGGGCCTGGGAGAGCGCGTGCGGTGGCCAGGGGCGAGCAGGAGCCGACGGCGCCCCGCCCTGTAAACAGCCTCGCGGGCCTCCTTGGCCTCAGTCCCATCCCTGAGAAGCGGGGGGCCGCTGCCCGCAGAGCCCACCAGACCCTCCCTGCAGGGGCCCCCTCTCTGCAGGGCGGGCCCAGCGCCCCCAGCAAACCGTGGCGGGCGTGTCGCCCCACCCGGCCCCAGTCATTGGCGGCCAGGCCTAGAGCTCCTCATAGTCCCCGCCCCCGCGGAGGTGGCCGCCCGGGGCCCCGCCCCCCAGGAAGGCCTCCAGTTCGTCCACGGCCGTCCTCGGCTTCTCGGTGCCGCGCCGCCGCCGCCGCTCCTCCCGGCCCTCCTCTCTGTCTCTGTTCCTCTTGTGCTTGCTCCTCTTCTTCGCCGCCTTCTCTTCCTCCTGCGATGGGGGCGGTGGCGCAGTGGGGTCAGGCGGGCGCCAGGAGCCCACAGCCCAGGACCCCTCGCCCCTGGCTCCTGGGAGGGGGAAGCGGGCGCCTACCTCTTTGCTTTTCTTCTTCTTCTTCTTCTTCTTCTCCTCCTTCAAGGGAGGCCTGCCCTCCTTATCTGCAGGGATAAGATGCAGCGTCAGCTCCCTGGGCCGCGTGCGCGCGTGTGTGGTGGCCTGGGCCGGTGGCAGGGGTCTCTGCAGATGCCCCATCTCAGTTGGTCCCTGCGGGAGCACCGCTCAGTGTGCACACCCCAGCCCCTCAGACTTTGCCCTGGGGCTGGGTGCCCAGCTGGCCCCAGCTACAAAGGTGACCTGAGGGACAAACCCTCTTCAACCCCAGGACAAGCCTGGGAAGGTCTTTTCCTCTCCATTTTGGGGACAACAAACTTCCGGACATGTCCCAAGTAACTCTGCTCATCAGGGCAGAGCTGGGCTCAAGTGGCCCAGGGTGGAGGGTGGGGACAGTGCCAGGGAGCCGTGGAGCTGGCCAGGGCCCCATAGAACCATGAGTGCTCATCAGGCCAGGAGACCACACCAGCTTCTTCCGTGGAGGGCCACCCATGGAGGGCCAGACTTAGGTACACACGAGCTCTCAGCCAGCCCACAGCAGTGCTGCCTGCGCCACCAAACGCCTCCTATGGACACGTGGTCAGGTGCCCCCAGCTGCCCATCCCTCTGGCCTGGTCCTGGCCTGCAGCCCTGTGACCCCACAGTGTGGCATGTCGTCAGAACACAGCTGGACCCCAAACAGGGCAAGAAGCACCTGGGACGGGGCTTCTCCAGAAACCAACAGCCAGCTGGCCCGGCCCTGCAGGACGGCCCCGCTGCTTGGAGCCCTGTGCTGCTGACCTCACTCCTGTGCTCTGAGGGTCCCCAGGGACACAGGGACAAGGAGGAGTCAGAGACATGCCCCCTTGGGCAGCGCCAGGGTGAGGTCCGCGGCCCACGTCACCCAGCGCCCAGGCAGCTACCTTCACCGCTGCTCCCCTTGTAGCCCGTCTCCTCCAGCCCCAGCCCGAAGAGATCCGAGTCGTTCTTCAGTCTGAAGGAGGGGATGGGGGGCTTGGGAGGTGGGGGCGGCTGGGCAGGCCTGGCGTCCTCGTCCGTCACGTCAGAGGGGTCCTCTCGCACTGGAAACTCATTCTGGAGAGGATCAGGCAGGTCGGGCTGCCAGCCCCTCCCCAGCTCCCTCCCTCGGTCACATAGCCCCTGTGGGGCTCTTACATTTCCCAGCAGGTGACAAGCTCCCTTGTGGGGCCCCCACGCTTGACCCACGATGCCGCCAAGCGTAGTCTCGCGCTCTCACCTCTGACCCGCCACCCCCTGCCCACCATGGGTCCTCAGGGCTCCGAGGCAGCCTGTGCACCAAGTGTCCTCACCACTCTCTGCTGAATGTCCGAGTCACTCTCGAAGTCGGGGTCGTCCATGACGAAGGACAGCATCTGGGCAGCGATGGGCCCCTCGGGATCACTCTCTGATGACACTGCCTGCTCGCCCTTCCCCTCCTCCTGCCCTTGAGAGCCCTTTGTTGGGGGCTTGGTGCTACCTGGCCAGTGGGGCTCCGCAGCCCTGGGAGCTGCGCCCCTGTGCGGCCTTGAGGCCTTTGTGGAGGACCTGCAGGAGGAGGAGATCAGGGGGCCTGCGGCAGCCTCTCCCCTTGTGAACCCCGCCCCCTCCTTGGGGCCCCTTGCTGGGCACCCCCCCATATACCGTTTGGTTTCTGGCTCAGAGCACTTCTGGGGAGCCAGGACAGTGGCATTGGGGTGCCCTGCCACCTCCTCTGCTTCCTCCTCACTGGAAAGAGTTATGTTTTCCCTGGGGACAGGGCCTGTGGGCAGCAGGGGCCGGCCAGGCGGCTTATCTTCAAGGTCCACGTCGTCTTGGAAAGCTGCCACCATCGGGTTCCCTCCTGGGGCCTCCCCATCGCTGCAAAGGAGAGGCAGGGCGGTCAGTGGTCACGAGGGGGGATGGAGCATCCGGCTACCCACCCTGAGCTCCGGGCACCCATGTCCACACGCAATGGACGTCCCCTCTGCGCCAGGCAAGAGCACTGACTGCTAGCTGCTTCACCCTTCACGCTCATGAGGACGGACCTCGAGGGGGACCTGTTTCAAGGCAGTGTCAAGGGCGCGCCGCGGAGCGGCTCACTGGCGTTGCAGCAGGAGCAGCGGCAGAGGCCAGCAGGAGAGGGGTGTGAGGTGGGGGCCGAGGAGACAGACAGAGATGCCACCCGTGCAGGGGGAAGCCACAGCTGGGCCTGCTCTGTTTACATTTGAAGTGGGTGCTCTCCTGCAGGGTGGTGGGGGAAAGCTGTGGGGCCTGCACATGGTGACGGGCTCAGTGATGCTCAGGGCACTTGAGGAGGAGCACAGTGCTGGCTTCATTCTGTTGTTTTGTGTTTTTGGAGGGATATGGTGACGTTACAGATGTGTGTGGGGAAAGGGGCTGGCAGGCCTGAGGCCCAGAAACTGACACTGAGGGGCAGGGAGCTGAGGGTGGGAAGCCAGGCCTGAAGTCTTCCTGCATGGCCCTGACTAGCCCCACCACATGGGGAGAGAAGCTGGCAGCTGCTCTGGGGCCCTAGGGCTCCTCTCCCACCTGCCACAGAGGGCGCGCTGACAGGTGCTCATGGGTACCACAGAGATGCACATTCAGGCCACCTGTGTCCTGGGCCAGCCTGACACTGTGAGCTTCAGAGTTGGACTGTGGCCAGAATCCTTGCTCCCTCTCTGCAGGTGTGGGGCTCATGGAGCACTGAGGCCCAGCAGCCCTGGGGGGCCGTGTCTGACGGTCTAAGCAGGCCTTTCCCTGGCATTCAGAGCTCTGGCCCAAGCCCTTCTCTCAGCTCCTCCAGCCACAGTCCTGCTTTTGTCTTCAGAGCTGAGCTGCTGCTGAGCTGGTGGGGTGCTGTGCCCTCTGCTCACCCAACGCCAGGGAAGTCAGCAGAGCCCACACCCAATGGGGGGCCAGGAGGAAGCCGAGGGCCAAAGCTGAGAATGGCAGCTGCTGCCCACGTTGCCTTCAAGGGCACAGGCCCCCAGCCTTACCTGTCGCTGTCCTGAGCAACCTTGGCTCCAACTTTCTTCTCGTCCTTTGGGGGGGCTGTGTCCTCCAGGAAGCTGCGGTCAAGGCTGTCTTCAGGAACAAAATCCTCCACATTCTGGACTTTTGCTGGGGCCTCTGCAGCTGTGGCTGGCTCTGTGGACAGCAGGAACCAGTTCCCACGTGCTCAGCGCCCACCCTGGGCTGTGCTCGGCCCGGCTGTGCCCGCAGGACTGGGACACAAGCAGGGGTGCAGGACTGGGCTGTGGGGCTGCCTGCCCAGGGGAAAGGGTGGCCTGCCCCAGTCTGTGAGCGCTGCCAGGGCCAGGAGACGGTGCTGTTCACCACTCAGGCCACCCACGCCACCTCCGGAGGGGCTGCTCCTGGGCCTACCTGGGGAAGAAGGGGCCACCTCGGCAGCCAGTGAGGTTCCAAACAGCCGGGAGATGATGCTGCGCCTCGGGGGCGGGGCAGGGACCGCGGGGGGTGCAGGGGGCAGCAGGACCTCTGGTGGGGATGGGGGGGAGGGGCAGGCTGAGGGGGCATGGAGGGGTGGCTGCGGGGCCGGCTGGGGTGTGCTGGGGCTGGAGCTCCCTGTGGACATGGCGCTGGGAGGCACCACTGGAGACTGGGAGCCCGAGGACGGGCTCTGCCCATTGGCTGCCAGTGGGGACGCGTGGCCGCGGCTGCGTGCCTCCATCACCTCGAGAAAGCTGAGGGAACAAGGAGCAGGGCATGAGAAACCCACCTTCCTCAGTCTCTTCCTCTGAGGTTTCTCAGAGCATTTCTGTTGCTTTGTGGAAGGTGGTCACAGCAGTGTCCCTGCCCGTGGGCTCAGCAGCCCTCAGAGACCCTGGCGTCAAGCAGAGCGTCCTGTGAGGGGAGGTGTCTGGGAGGAGGGGGTGGGCCTAACAGGCAGGAAGGGGCCTAAACCAGGGCAGCCGGCACCAGAGGCTGAGTCTCAGAGACAAGCCCTACTGTCCTTGAGGCTGAGCAGGACGGCGCTCCCTAAGCCCGTGTCTTTGGAGGCAGGCTTGCAAACAAAGGGTCTGGAATGAACAGCTGGCCCCTGCATGTAGGCCTTCCCTGGGGACCAGGAAGTGGGTGTCTGGGCTGGCCACCCTCACCACTACGTTGAGACTTGAAGGGATGGGATGCGAAGGAAGGACAGGCATGGTGCTGGGTTCTGGTGCAGGCCAGGAGTGCCGTCCAGCTTCTGGCCCAAGGCCTCAGCCAGTCCCCCATCTCCTAAAGGCTGGTGGTGGGGACACTGCTGCCGAGCCCCCAAGCTCTCAGTCCAAAAGGAAAAAGCCACCCCACTCTCAGTCAGAGGAACCTTGTAGAAGCCAGTCAATCCTGCTCTGTTCAACAGCGCAGGCAGCCGCTTGCCAGGGCAGGGCTCCCTCTTGTGGCCAGCCTGGTGGCTGAAGCAGTGCAAGTGTTCTCCCCCAGAACGACTCCTGATGTTTCCAGAACCACATCCAGCTGGATGTGGCTCCGGGAAGACCAAAGGCCCTTCTGCAAGTCCCTCTAGGGACAGAGGGGGACGCTGGGGGGCGCATGGGTCTGCTCTGCTGCAGCCAGGGCCCACGGTCCAGGCCACGAGCACCAGTGGGCCAGCAGCCTCTCATGCCTCTCCCAGGACCCGACACTGACACTGAGGTGCTCTCTCTGGGAACCAAACAAGCAGCTGTTCTGAGGAGCAGTTCAGGGTCACGCCTTCCCTGAAAGAGTCAGCGCCTCCCCCTGCAGCTGTGGAAGGTGCATGGGGACCCTGAGAGGGCCACCCCCCCACAGCTGCTGCTCCTCACCCACTTGGCCGTCTTGCTGCAAGGGCACACGCTGCTTAGTGCACAGGCACAGCTGGGGAAAAGCCCTGCTCTGAACTCCCCTCCTGCCACAATCAAGGACCAGAAGGTTCCGTTCCCGCCCCACACGCCTCTTCACCACCAGCAGCCCTCTCAAGGTCAAGGAGCTCTCTGAAGACCCTGCTCTACACTGGCATTAATCTGGGAAACAGCTCAGAATTGGGATAGCAGCCTCAGCTAGAAAACATCAGGGGAGCTGGTCTCACTGGGGCCTTGGACAAACATGCGGCCTGGGTAGTGGCATCCAGTGCCACACGCCTGGTGGGAGCAGGTGAGGCTGGTCTGGACAGAGGCAGGTGGAGCCAGGCAGCAACAGCGCCAACGGCTGTACCCAGGCCTGCATGCCCGCATCCTCCACAGCCAGGCAGCTGTCTGGGTGTGGTGGCCACACAACCTCTCGGGTGAACTGCCAGTGCCACAGTTACACCCACAGGCTCGGAGCCACTCATGGGTCCTGTCAGGCCCATTAAAGAAGGCCCAGCCCCAACGTGCTCAGTGGGCAGGGTGGTGGCAGGGCCTCGGGGTGTCTGACCTCCCTTCCTCAGGGAGCATCTGGAGGAGCCAGGCATCTGCTTCCCACGGTCAGGTGGGCTCCACTTAAAACTTACCTACTTGTTCTACATAGCGCTTGTCATACTCGAAATATTTCATTATTGCACATTAACAGTGAAGAAGCCTGCTACAGGGGAGAAGAGAGGCCACCGGCCTGACTGCCCAGCAAGGGCTGCCCTCAAGATGGTGGCTGGGCCTGGACTCTCCTGCCTGCGCTCTGTTCTTTGAGCACCGTCACACTCACAGCTGAAACGACTTGGGTTTTTGGAGCAACGCGACACTTGCAAGCCGACAGACCCCCTGGAATGGGTGGGGCTCCCTGCTGCTGTCTCACCAAGTACAGGCTCAAACTTGAGGTGGCCCCTGGGCCAACGTACATGTCATAGTTCTGGTCCTCAGTCTCCTGCTGCACTGACAGCTCCTCCAGCGTGGCGTCAATGTCTAGCTGGTTTGTCTCCAGCTGCCGCAGCAGCGTCTCTCTCTGCAGAGAGGAAGCAGAGCGATCTGAGCAGGAATCGTCCCTTCAGCGAGCCCCCACCTTCAGCCTTGCGTCCCCACTCGCCAGCCCTTGATGAATTAAAGGGCAGCTGAGCACAGGGGGCACAGGGCTCGGCTGCCCAAAGACCTGGAAGCCCAAACGACCTCATCCAGGTGTCAGCATGATGCTCAGCTGTCCGGTGTGGCTCCGGGGACAGATGTCAGTGACGTGAGCAGACCACCCAAAAGACAGCGCACCGTCCACACAAGGTGCCCCCAAGGTTTGAGACGCCCCAATGCTTATGAGAACACACACTCTTCCTGCCAGCCTTTTCCCACTCCCAGCGTGGGCATGCACCACCTCTGGGGTCAGAGGTCAGGTACAACTTCCAGCGCAGAGCATCCTGCCGTTCCATCAGCGACGTGCAGCACTGACTGCCCGGTGACAGGGAACATGGGGGCCGGGCGCTGTCCCCGGGCCCATGCTGGGGTGTTTCCCTTGGGATTTGTGTGCGTGTTATACTTGGATAACAAGTTAAAAGGAGCTGTGAGAGCAGTATCGAGCAACACTCAGGGTCCCGAGGGAAAGAACAGGCGCACAGTGTGGGCTGGTGCCTCTGAGAAGTGGACACACCGGCTTTCCTCCCCACTGAGAGCAACGCCAACCACCCCAGCCAGCAGGGTTCCTGTTTCTTCCAAAAGAAAAAAAGGGAAGGGGAAGGGAGAGACTGTCACTCTCCCAGGCAAGTTCCACGTCCTTCTAGAGAAGGAACGGAAGCCACTGCAGCTGCAGAGGGCCACGGGCCACCATCCTGGGGACAAGCTGCACGGGTATCGTGCCCTGTGCTACGTGGCGAGAAGCGCAGCCACCCCATGGTCTTCTGCCCGAGAGCCCACAGCCCCGTCTAATGTCAGACAGACCCTGCACCAGGCCCACCTGAGAAACACAGCCAGAGTGGCCTCAGCAGAGTGACCGCCACGTGCAGGGTGGGGCCCGGGGCAGAGAAGGACAGACAGGAGGTGGATAAAACCTTGTGTTTAGGGAAGGGACCAAGGCTGGTTCCACGGTTTTGACAAAAGCACGTGGAAACAAGGGGGCTGACGTGGGGACCTGAGTGAGGGGCAGAGAAACCTCTGCCCTGGCTCTGCAACTGTCCTGTCCATCTAAAATCACTCCCAAATAAGTTTATTTAGGAAAAAAAACCAAGCAGATGTAGCACTTGGGCCCAGAGAGTTGCAAACCAGGCACCAGCCTCCACAGCAGGAGGGATGCGGGGGTGCTGGGGGCCGTCCCTACAGCTGTTGGCCAGAGAAGGACCAGGTCCACAGTAAGAGTGGCTGGCCCAGCCACCGGGGGGCATCAGTGGGGCTGGGGAGGGGTGTGGGCACCACAGCCCTCACCTGGGCGCTTGGGATCAGCATGCACACCTGCACAAGGGCCAGTGAAATGCCATGGCAGCATCAGGGCAGAGGCTGGGGGAATCAGTGCAACCACTCGTCCAGGTCTCTGGTGCTCGGCCCAAGAAGGGCATCTCAAGGATGCCAATGTTCTGCAGCTGTGTGTGGGGCTGTAGAAAGGCCCAGGTCCCAGGACCCGGTAGAGGGGAGGGGACAGGGCAGGCCATCCTGGGGCCACCAGCGCCAGCACACCAAGTCCTAACTGGAGATGGTGCTCCAAGCAAACCACCCAACTGCCCCCTCAGGGCTCAGGAGGGGGGTCCCACCCCTGCACCAAAGTAGTGCCCCATCCCCCACAGGGCAGGCTCACCTGAAGCTGCAGAAATGGAATATTAAAGAACTTATGAAGGTACTTCAGGCCAAAGCTGTTCTTCATGGAGGACTCAGCATAGCGGAAGTAGGAGGAGCCTGGGGGCCTGTGTGCAAAAGAACAAAGATTCCAGAGAGACTGCAGCGGTGGTGGGCCCAGGGCAGGGCTCTGAGTCACCTTCTGCAGGTGACCACCCCTGGGGGCGGATGAGGGCCAGGTGGCCCCACAGCCTTGGGGCCTAGACCTAAGCTTCAGTCGGCTCTGGTTAACTGAGTGCCCACAGGCAACATTTTGACTGGGCTCGTGCCCCCGGGCCCACACCCTAAGGCAGGGGCCTCGTGGCACCATCCTCAACATCTAGCAGGGCCCCTGGCCTCAGAGAGGGAGAGAGGCTGCCCCCACCTGGGCCTGCTTGGTGCCAGGAAACCAGCTGCCCACTGTGGTCCTCAGCCCCAGTCCCCTCTTGTAAAGTGATCTTGCCCTCTGCTGCTCACTCATTGCCTGCAGCCTGGCTGGGACGGCCCTCCCGCCCTTTCTCCAACTGGGTCCATGTCTCCACCTCTGAGCTCACCCCGACGCTGTGCCCTCTGCCCAGGTCTCCCCAGACCTCCATGTGCCTGCAGATCTCGCTCGTCCATATGGTGTGGATGGAGGGGCTGGACCTGGGGCCACAAGAGCAGGGAAGCCGGGCGGCAGTCAGAGCACCTTGGGACTCGGAGCTGAGCAGCTGGGTGGGGGCTGGGCCTCATGGCCGAGGAGTGCCAGGGCAGGTGGGGCTAACGGGCACAGGGGCCTGGCCCCATGCCAAGGAAGTCTCCCTGTCTGCTGTTGTCCTGCCCCTCCACCTGCTCCCTGGGCCTCAGCAGGGCACCCACCTGTCCAAGTTGTCAATGAAGTCGCGCACGTCGTCAGGCAGGATGACGCGATGCTCGCCCATGTCTCGGTAGTTCCCCAGCACACACACAGGCACGTGTGTCGGCACTTTGGGAAGCTCCCGGAGAATGTAGTTGAAGGTCCTTGGGAGGCACAGGCGAGAAGAGAGACTTGCCTTAATTGGGCCGTGAGATCCTGCCCTGGCACCCGCACGCACACAGAGCATTAGAAGATGGCATGGCCAGTGCCCGCAGACCCCTCCCCGGGTCGGCACCCATTGCCCTGACGTTCCTTCGGGTTTGCCTGGGTTCCCTTCCCACGTATATCCTTTCTTGACTTGTCTTTGCACCCGTTCTGCGGGGCACAGCTGTGGCCCACAGGGCTCACCGAGCTGTCCCTTCTGCTGTCTCAGGACTTTGTTTGTCAGTGGGTGTGGGGGGGTCTTGCACCATCTCCTGGCACAAGGCCCACACCTCCTGGGGGGCTGAGGGGCGTTCAGCCCTACAGGGTCACCCACATGTCTTCCAAATGGCGCACAAGGAAGAATACGAGTGTGACAAACTTCCCTAATCCAGAGGAAGGCAATACAAATTAGTGAAAAATACAGCACGCACCATGTTCACACACACACACACACATGCTTTAAACCGCTAACAAAGGGCCCAGGGTGTCTCTGCCCTCCTGCTGGGGGGCGTCTCCTGAGCCCACGGCGCCCTGTGCACTGACATGACTGGCTCTGGCCCACAGGGCCCAGTGAAAGTGCTGGCGAGTCAGCGGCGTTCTGCATCCTCTTCGTATGGAGGGGCTCTAAACGGTGTCTGCTGCCACCACTCAGGCACTGCCTGAACCAAGCACGCTGATATTTAGGGGTCCCAGGGCTCCGAGAAATGGCCCCGGCCCCAGCTGTCTCACCACGCCTGGACCCCCCCGCCTCGCACCACCTGCTCGTCAGACACTTGCATCCAGGTCTCACAGCCATGCAGGTGCGTCTGCCACCACGCCCCTGTGCCTGCGCGCTGGCTCCTGCTCGCCCTGTACCTCCCGCCCTTCTTCACACCCAGCCCAGGCGAGCCTCACAGGCACAAAAGGCCCCAGCTCAGCCGCTGGCAGCTCTCCTGAGGGTCCTTCTTGGCCTTTAGGCCACTGCTCATCCAGCAAAGGCTATAAGGTGCTTTAGTGATGCTGACAGCCCTCCCAGAGCCAAGTGGCCATTAACAGTGTCTACGCCAGATTCCACACAGGAAACGCCACCTAATAACCAGTGCAGCTCGTAGAGAACGCCAACTTCCCTGCGTGCACCTGAGAAGAGTGCGGCTGCTTCTCCCACAGGCGTGTCTGTGACTCGTGTGCTCCACCATCCTGCTCCGTACACATGCCTGATGCACTGCTGCCGCCACCTGGGGGCTTCTCAGGCGCGTGCCAGGGTCATTGCAGATGGCAGGTGCTAAGGTGTGGGTCCCTGCAGGCCGGTAGGGCTGGTGGAGGCTGCATCAGAGCCCTCAGACCCAAGTCACTGATGGGCGCCCCGAGGGTGACCGTGTGAACCCCTGGAAGACCCACGCATCCAACTGTACTGTGAACATATCCTTAAATAAAAGCAGTGTCTACACAGGTGTGCACAGAAAGATCCCAGTATTGTAAAAAAAAAAAAAAAAAAAAGAACGCGTGCATGTGCACCATTCAGAAGAAAAGCTGGCTGGCCTCCACAAGCGACAGCCGTGGCCGTCTCTGATGACAGCATCGAGTTTCTCTCTGTTTCTTGGTTTTTCTACCACGAACGTGGATGACGTGCGATAATCATCATCTAACTCAAATAACAGGGTGCACACCCCACAGGCCATTTCTGAAATAAGCTCTCTTCAGGCCCTCCTTCAGTATTTCTGGAGACTTCCATTTCTGGTGGCATGCAGCAAGGTGTCCACAGAGCAGGCCTGGGGCTGTGTCCCGAGAAAGGCTGGCCTGCAAGGCTGCCCGGTTGCCACTGGGGACTCTCTGCTGTTCCTGGCACCAGCTCCCTGGGGAGGGGCTGGCTGCCTGCACCACTTGTGCTTCCAGGAACACCTGCTTTCCTCCCTGGCGCCAGGCAGGACTGGGGCACCGAGTCTCAAGAGCAACCCGCAGATGCCAGTTCACATGTGTCATGTCGTGTCGTGTCGTGCCGTGCCCCTGCAAGCCCCACGTGACCCCGTGGAGAGGCCCCCCGCACCCCCACCAACTCGCCCATGCCTTCCCTTTGCCCATCTGCTCCAGAGCCTTTTGCTGTGACATCTTAGCTGGCATCCTCCTAGCAGTCAAAGAATGTGGGGGCTCTTGGGAGCCACCAGCACGAGTGGCCCCTGGATTCTGCCCAATTTTCGATGGTGTTTTCAGGAAGGACTGTGGGGCTGTGGGGCTGTGGAAGGTGCATGCCTTGTCTGCCACTCTGAGCCAGCCTGTCCCGGGCCACCCTCCAGATGTGAACACCTCCTGACCCGGCCCCATGTCTGCAGGCACAGATGCCCAGGGACATCCAGGCCAGGGCTTCTGTGTGGCTGAACTGCCAGCGTGCGTGCTGCCCGCAGCTGGCCCTCAAGAAGCATTCAGCGCCAGCAGTGATACTGGTGTAACCACCATTTGCTGGACCATGGGGGTGGCCCTCGGGGTGGGGCGGTGCCGGGAGCCGTGATGGCCAGTGCCCTCTTACCACTGCTTGGTGATGTCGAACATCATGACCACCCCGTTACAGTTCTTGTACACGTCCAGGAACTCGGCGTCCAGGGCCATCTCGGACTCCGCCTAGGGACGAGAGGGAATTGGGCATAAGAGACGGTACTCTGGTGGGTCCCACAGGTGTGAACTCACAATCTCCTGGAAAAGGCTGAACAGGACTTTTACAATCTGAAAATATAACAGTTTTTTCATTTTGGAAAAAAGTATGTAAACACAAGATTATCTAGTGTAGGGGTTGCAAAACTTTGCCTCAAAGGGTCTGGCAGTAAACGTTTCAGGGTCCGGGGCCCCGTCGACTGTGCCCTCCATCTGGGGTCTTCTCCACTAGCTGTCAGCAGCATCTCGCCCTCAGGGCTCATGAACTTTCCCCACCCAGAAGGACAAGAGTGCTGGAACAGCCAGCGCCCCAGAGTGAGATGTGCATTCCAGAACTGAGGAAAATGTCTGCAGAGAACCTTCCAGAGCACACTAACTGGGCTGCTGCCATGCTGGGGGCAGTGGCCACGTGCTACACAAAGGGCCAGACAGACCTGGGCCCGGCAGGCACTCAACCTTCCTGCTCTGAGGGGGAGCAAGGAAGCTGCCGACCGTCCGAGGCCATCTACGGACAGAAGGACCATCTACGGACAGAAGGACCATCTACGGACAGGAGGACCGAGAGCAGGGCTCCTGGAAACAACGAGAGGGCTTCCCCAGAACGGGAAGAGCGCTGGTTTGCTCCCGACTTCTTTGTGTCCAGGGAGGTGGCCGCCGCCTCCCTGTGGGAAGGGAGCTGCAGCAAGAGCTCATTTGGAGCCACTCACGCCACGTGCATCAGGGCCACAGCTTGAAGGCGTGTCCTGTGCTTTCAGGGGCGGAGGCCTCTGTGACGGGGATACAAAATGTAGCCGTTCACCTAAATACCTCTCCGGTCACTCAGCTCAGCACTGGTTTGGCAGGTGTCATGTGTGGCAGTTAGCCAGGCGAGCCCAGCCACCCCAAAATGCGACCACAGGCAGCACAGGGGTCCTGTGAGTTGCTGGGACGGCCAGGGGCCACTGTGTCCACCTGTACAGCTGGAGTCCTCAGGAGGGCCCAGGACGGGCAGGCAGAGAGGTCTGAGGAGCGGGCATCTGCTCACAGCCCCCACCCAGAACCGTGGGCCACGTGGGACAGACGCGGCTCACCTCCTGGGGGTCGTTCTCCATCTTCAAGCCATCGCCTCGCTTTTTGCATTTTCCTTATTGAAAGACAGATAAAAATTATGAGGTGATGCTGGGCTCAAGGATGGCCCGAGGGAGGAGCACCCCCTCCCGTGTCCCACTGTCCCCCACACCCCGAGCTCCAGTAGGCACCATGCTCAATTGAGCTGGAGGCCCTGGGAGCCATGCCCCGACCCGCTGGCAGCAGGATGTGGCAGGGTCCCCAGTGAGGCCTCTTGGGCAGCTCCAGCTGCCCTGACCCAGCTGGGAGAAAGGCCCAAACAGGCTGCCAACAGCCGGGCCTGGACTTGAAGGCATCTGCAGGCCCAGCACGGCTCCTTGGACTGCACAGGGAGACCTCCCCAATGCCTCAGCCAAGGCTCTTGTTCAAATGCGGCACCTGCTTCTGGGCTGACAAGGACCCAGCCCTGAGGTGTGGCTGGCTGGTACAGGCCTGGGCTGCAGCCAAGGCCAGCCTCTGAGGTGCTGCCTTTGAGGCCACAGAGGCTCCCTGAGCCGGTGCTAGGGACAGAGGAGCTGGGCTCCGGCAGAGCTGCAGTCGGCCGGCTCTGGTGGCCCCTGAGCAATAAGGAGCTCCGAGGCCATCACCCTCCCTTTACCTCTGGGACATCCTAACTGAAGAGGAAGGACTGCTACCACCCTGGGAATCCAGGGTCCCCCGTCTCAGGGTAGTGCTCTGGGCAACACTAACAAACAAACCTCCCAGAACAAACTGGGGTTCGTTTATCAAAAACCAACCCCTGCCTCTTTCAACAGCCGTTCTCTGAGCTTCTCAGCACCTCCTGACCCCGTCTCTAGAGTTGGCCCCTTGTTCACACTCACAGGCGCCAGCCACACTGCACCCTCCTGAGTGCTGGCAGTGCTGCCGGGGTGGGCGCCCTGCACACAGCCCTGCAGACAGGCAGGCCCGCTCCCTGAGCTCCCCAGAACACTGCTGTCCAGCCAGAGCCCAGGATGCGCCTCCAGCACCCAACAGTCTCCGTGAGCCACCGCTGCCAAGCAGCCGCGAGGCCAGTGCTCCAGGAGAAGTGCAGGGGCCTGAGGGGTGGGGCCTTGGCTAATGGAATTGGGGAGGCTGCAGATGCAGGAGAACCCAGAGGACGGTAGAGCCCCTGAGGCTGCTCCCTAGGCGCCCTCCCCATCGGGCGCCTCCCAACGCACAGCTGCTGAGCCCTGGCTCGTGACTCACTGGGCTTTGCCTCCTCGCCAACTCACCCATTCCCCACCGAGGGCTTGGCTTCAGCTGCTGCCACCTCTCCCCACTCTGCAGACAGTGCTGAGACCCCGTCCAACAGGCGACAGGTTAGGGTGGTAGTGAAGGCACCTTTCCTTCCCACTCAAAAAGGTTCTCACCGGAGGGGAACTGGGCCACACGGAGCTATGAGGACGCCCAGTGCTCACGTGGAGCCCTGCACCCGGCCAGCCTGCACACGAGCCTGGGACCTCTCTCCTGCTGTGCAGTCTGCCGTGTTCCACCTCGTCTCCAAGCCACAGGGGACTCCGTGAGCAGCCCAGCCCAGGGAGCCCTGCCCCAACCCGTCACCACACACACGGTTTGAGGCTCATGCCTTACACAGGCAGGAAGCAGGGTGCTTGGAGGTTCCTGGGATGGGGCAGTGTCTGCTCTGCACCCCGGGGCAGGTTCCTCCAGAGGACACAACACACTGCCCGGACAGAGCCCCGTCCCCAAATATGGACCCCACTCTAATCCTGAGGCTTGGAGGGCAGCCCGAGTGACAGCTTCCCCTCACATCCAGGACAGTGACAGGGTCGCAGAGCCGGCTGCCTTCCAAACGCCCCCAAGTCACTCGTGCGGACATGGTTTGGAAGCACAAGGCCTTTGCAGGCCCGACGGGGTTGAAAGAGTCCTGGTGGGCAGCAGCTCCTGCTGGGTGCTCCTGCTGGCTCTCAGGGTGTAGGGCTGCCTCTCTTGTCCTATCTGGCTGAATCAGTCCTCGGAACCCAAACCCACCCCCAGAGACATGGCAAAGGGGAGTGCAGTGTGTGTGTTCTGTACCAGGAACCACAAGCTCCTAGAAGACACAGTCTCCTGTGTCCCCAGAGGCCACGTGCATGCCTGTGGGGTCAGAGGTCAGACCGTGCGTGGCAGCACACAGGGTGCCAGCACCAGGGAGGAACGGGGGTCCCCCAGAGCATCACAGAGGAGGGACCTGCAACCTGAGTGTGAGGAGGAAATTCGAGATGACATGTCAATGGGGGAACATGCCCACCCCTCACCACCAGGGCATGTGGGGCGTGACCCTCGAGGTTGGCGCGGCTCTGTGTGTGGTGGAGTGCTTCCCTGTGAGAGCACGGGGACTCCACAGCCGCAGTGCCCTGGGAGCCAGCAGTCAGATGGACACATGCAGCCGAAGGGAACGGCTGCTTCAGAAGCCAAGGAGCTGGTCCTCGGCTCTGGGCATGGGGGGCCGAGAACTGGGGGCCCTGATAACTGGGGAGCTACACCAGCAGCGCTGCAGGAAGGGCTCCCAGAACAGCCCTCTGGGTTTGGAGCCCACCCACCTCCACAGGCCCGTGTCTGTCCCCACTGCCATGTACTCAGTTTCAGTGAGTGAAACACATTTAAACAGCAAAGACCAAGGTGCTCTGACAGGTCACTGCTGTGCATTCTGTCCCATCCACCACAGAGGCAGGAGGGAGCTGGCCCAGGACCCAGAGGCTAAAGGTAACAGCACCAACCTAGACCTCCCACAGCCCCTCGCTGTGCCCAGGAGCAGACACTTCTGGTCATACATGCGACATCAGACGTTAAGTCTGATGAGGAACCAGGATTCAAGGGACTGAGATGCCACGAAACACAGGATGAAGACACGCACACGTGGTGGCTGCCAGGACAGGGAGAAAGGAGAGCTTTTCTCTTTTACAGAACGAGTAACACGCTAAGGAGAAAAGTACTTGTAATAAAAAATCGACTTACCTTTGTCGACTACGTCCCAGACTTCCACTTTAACAATATCATCAGTGGCTAAAATGGGGAAAATATCACAATTAGGACCCAGTGTGAACTTCTGGTTTCACAAAGATGGGCTTCTAGGGGCTGTCCAGGTGTCTCTGTTTGTCCCACTCTTTAAGTGTGGGTCCCCCGCCAGGAGACACCGGGCCCTCCCTCGGTGCTGTGCCCAAGGGCGCCCAGCTCCCGACGGCCTCTGCATGTGCCGTGACCTGGGATGCTCCTCCCCAGTCGGTGCGCGGGCTCGTGCTTCTGCTCAAGCTGCAGTGAACGATCTCCGCACACCCTCAGCTGAGACACCCCCCATTTGCTGAAGGCATCCCTGGGGAGGCTCACCCCTGGCCGGACCCACGCAGACAGGAGGGATCTACACTCAGAACCCAGGCCTGAGCCGCCCCGGGTCACCAGGTCTTCCCAGTCCGTCCACCTGAGGAGCACGCAGCTGGTGTTGGAGTGGATCTGAACGTGACTGACTGTCCTCCTGACCCTACTCTTTGTCTGGCCTCCTCAGGGACTGGCTTCCACTTCACTTCGAAGGAAGTAGGATGGTCAGTGATGGAGGACCGGAACTCTCCAGTCGGTTGGTCCCAAACTTCTACCAAAAGCCTTCAGGGTGCAAGGCCGAGTGGGAGCTAGCCCAGGACAGGCCTCTGCCAGCGGCCAGCACGGCTGTCCCCCAGGTTTCCTGAAGCTGCTGGTCGTCTTTGGGGCTCCATCCTCCTTCATAGGAAGGGCCTGTGCAGCAGTGACTGTCCCATCTCCTCCTTGGCAGCAGTCCTCCCCCTGGGTGTGCGGCGGCCGAGGGGGCGGACCCTAGGGATGGCCAGTCTGGTCTCAGAGCCCAAGTGCAGGGACAGCAGGCTCATCCCCCACCCTGAGGGTTCCAAGGGGAAAGGGAGAAGGGGGAACCGCCATGCACCTGCCCCAAGCTGGGGGCCTGAGAGGCGCCCGCTGCTGCCAGCTTCACCCTGAAGTGGAAGAGGGTGCCGTGGGAGGGTGGGGCTTCTCTGTGCCACCGCCAGCCCCCAGCGGTCGAGCAGGGGCGACACTGCAATCCGTGCAGCTGTCCCAGATGCAGCCTGGTGGCACCAAGTGCAGGTCAGAACAGTCTTCTACAAAGGCCCGTGGGTCCTGCTCTGACCCACTAGATTCTTTCCAGTGAAAAGTAATGTCTACAATGGCTCGAAGGCCTTTTGCTTTCCTGATTCCTGACCATACAGAGGAGCTCCTCAGCTCCCGCAGCACTGCCTGCCTTCACTTCCCTGCGGAGGCAAAGTGTCCGCCGTCCCCGCGGCCGAGGGGCCTCGGGGGTGTTCGTCCATCAAGTGCTCTCGCAACAAAGCATCTCCCAGGGGCTCAGGGGCTTCAGAGACTCTGAAGTGAAGAGTTGTGGCTCAAAGGGACCGAGGAATCCTTTCTGCTAGGCGAGCGAACGTGGGACCCAGCACGCTGGCTGCAGCACAGAAGCCGCAGCCCACCCTGGGGTCCGGCTCCCCTCAACATCACTCTCGAGTGTTAAAGCGGGAGCTTTGCCTTTTCAGTGTCTCTAGAATCGAGAGTTGCTCCTTTGACCCAGCTCCCCAGGCGGAGCCCCCACACCGCTTTGTCTGCTTCTCTGGACCAAGTCTCCCCTGGGAGAGGGGATTTCAGGGTGGCCCAGAAGCAGCTTTAATGAGTGCCCCCATGCTAGCCCCTCTGAGTTCACCAGGGGCTCCCACACACGGACCCTGTTCCCATGACGACACTGCTGGGGAAGGTGTCTCCAGGGAACTGGGCCCAGGGAGGGCGATGGAATGAAAGCCCCCACAGAGAGGCAGTGCCTGTGCTCAGACACCAGGGAGGGCCCTCACCGGCTCCCTCCCTTCCCGCCCTTCCCCGCGGGCCCTCACTTTTGTAGTTCCAGTGGATGCTGGTGACCTGGATCTCCTGCGTGGGGATGTACTCCTCCACAAACTTCCTGCCCTGCAGACGGTGCCACAGCGCGGTCTTGCCTGTGTTCCTGTCTCCTCGGATCACTATCTTCACTGGGGGAGAAAGGACAGATCAGGTAAACAAATCAAACTAACTTCACCGATGCAGTCTGTGTGCCACACCCGTTTTCTTCCCACAGACCAGGGCCTGAGTGCTGGGGTGGGCCAGGGTAGGTGGGCTGGGAGATCCCCGAGGGGGCAAGGCCATCTGCGCAGCCTGTAGAGATGAGAGCCGATGGTGCACACTTAGTGCACACTGTCAGTGCACATTCAGTGCACCAGGGCAGCCAGGGCCCTCTCTTTCCCCTCCCGTTCTGCAAAGGAGGACCCTGGAGGCATTTCGTCCTGGGCGGATGGAGTGATGCAGTGTCAGACTTTGTACTCACAGGAAAGCGGTCTCCCCTAGAGCCAGATGCCCCGGGGACCCATGGCTCCCAGGGTCTGGGTCAGGCTGTGGGGTGGCCTTGACTTGGCCCTCGGCCTGGAGGGGTTGGGGGTGATGGGTGCTCTCCTTCCACAGCTTGCTAGATTTCGATGGTTTGCTCTTACCCTACTTTCCTGCGGCCGTGGTATTTTTAGTCACAATTATACAGAACGCTAGGCTTTTCAAGACCACACATGTAGGGTTACAGCACAAAGCCTGTGTTCTGTCTTGCTCACTCAACAAGTATTTCCAGAGCAGCCCGCCTGTGTGCCAGGCGTGAGCAGGCACCTGTGAACAAGCCCAAAGGCAGCCCAGCACTCAGACGTGGGAGGTCAGAGCAGGGTGGGGGAAGGCCCACAACGTGCCAGCGGGACACTCGGGGGCAGAGGGCACGCAGGGGCCAGACCCTGCAGCACCACACAGGAATGTGGACTTCCTGCTGCCTCTGAGCGTGAGTGCCACGATCTGGTTTGTTCTGGAAAGATGAAGGAGAGCAGTAGGAGTGCCGTACAGAGCCAGTGGAGCAGGGGGGAGGACAGGATGGAGCTGATGGCCTTTGCTGGGGGACTGGCCCTCAGGGGAGGGGAGATGGTGTCAAGAATGACACTGAGGTTCTGACCCAAGAAACGCGTGGCTGACAGCACCCTTTAGTGAGATGGGCAGCCTGCGGGAGGAGCCTGAGGTGCTTATGGACCTCAGGCAGATGTGGAGAGCTCAGCGGGTCAGGCCTCGCAGGCTGTGTATACAGTGGACGGTGCTTCACACATGGGGGCTGGGGAGGCCACCAAGGGAGCTACAGAGGGGGCTGAGGCCCGGCCCATCTGGCTTCTCTCTCCCCGCACCACCCTCTTCCTCCTAGTTCAAGGCCCTTCTACTCTCAGACACTCACTTCTCCTTCCATGAAACTCAGCTACCAAGTCACTTTCCTTACCCCATTCCACGTTCCCTCCGAGTCCCAACTTCAGTCGTCAAAACATATTAGTTGTTTCCAGACTTTAAACATCTCTAGTCAGATTTCAAGGAGGCACTTCTTCCACCCTCTATCGTGTCACCAAACAGGACACAATGGCCATCCCTCTCAAGGTCATGGGCAGTCTAGCCCCGATTCCGGCCAGAAGCCAAGGACAGACCTAAGAGTAAAGTCAAGACAGCTGGTGCTACGAACACAGCTCTGGGGAATGCTCAGCCCGGGACATGAACCCAGGCTGCCCGGTGGGAAGCGGGCTGGCTTAGCAGAGCTCCATGCACACAGGAGGGGCCCTCGCCTCTCTCCCTCATTTGGCGGAAACGAGGTGGACAGAGATCTGCAGCCTCACCTCCGGGGGGCAGGCCCCAAATGTCCCCAGGAGACCATTGGCCAGGCCGAGGGGAGGACAAATCCAGGGCGCCAGTGCCTGGACCTTCCTGGGAGCAGGCTCTTTTCTCCCCACACGCCACTTTTCAGATGGCCACACGCTTCCTCCACGCTGCAGCCTGACCTTTCCCCAGCTTTTGGGAGGCAGGTCCTTTTTCAAATCTACTTGGTCTTTTTGTATAGCCTGTAGAGTCCTGTTGATGCATCCTCAAACCTCTTTTATTTCTGGAAATACCCCACCCACACTGACTCGATACTCTGTGACCCTGACATCTTTCGAGGCCGGGCTCTGACAGTGGCTGCACCTGCGGCTCCACACCTGCGGCTTTATTTCCTTTGTCTTCTGATTTTTGGCTAGCAGCTCATCACTCTTTGGAACTTCTTCCGGGGGATGGCGTGGAGGTCTGGGCTGCAGCTGCATTCATCAGAGAGTGTCTGTGATTCCTGCCAGTTACCTGGAACACTACCAACCTGGAACATCTTAAGTTAATTCTTCATTTGAGATTTTTTTGACCACACAGATGATGCTGAGGCACACACACTCGGAGGTCAACGTGGGCTTACCAGCACTCAGGGAGACCCCCTGCATGCAGGGATCTCCTGGTGGCCAGCCCTTCTTGATGGGGTTCCAGGTCTTCCCTCCTGCCCCACCCCCGACTACCACGCACTCCCTCCTCAGGCGAGGCAGCTTCAGTGCCAGCGTCCCACCCAGGACCCACTCCCTTCAGTTTTGAGAAAAGTGAAACAAACACCTCTACATCCTTCATCCAAGTTCATGAACCGAGTGACGCATTAGTGCTTTTCTAAATGTTACTCCAACTTTTAAAATTATTTTTAAGGGCAGGGCTGGTTCAGGTTATCAACTTTATCATACTGCCTGAAACAGAAGTTGGGTGCTATTGTAAGAGCCACTTTTCAGTCTAGTGTTCAGTTTTTTATGCATAAAAGCATCTTGACAAAGAGAAAACTCATATTTCTGACTTTATGTTAATTTTATCCCTAAAGAAGGGCTCATAGCCGCCCTGATACTTTTCATTTCTTTTTCTAGTGCTGGGCAGAATTCCACACACCAGGGAAAAGCTCAGTGAAAGTGGGGAGTCCTCATCTGGTCCAGATTTTAAAAGGAATCTTATGTCTCAGTATGACATATGGATACAGGTTTTGGCAGATACCCTTAAACAGGTAAAAGAAGTTCCCTTCTGTTCTTGGTTTCCTAAGAAGTGGGTTTTTTGGCTTTTTTGTAAATCATGAATGGGTGTTGATTTTTATCAGATCCTTTTCTTGCACTGATTGAGATAATTTTTTTCTCCTTTAACCTGCTTGTAAATCATATAATATATATTGTTAAACAATCCTTGCATTCCTGGGGTAATCCTAATTGGTCCCAATGTAATAATTTGTTATTATTATTTTAACAATTTTCTAGACCCGATTTCCTAATCTTTTATTAGGTCTTTACCTCTGTGCTCAGAGGTGAGATGGACTGTTACTCTCCTTTCTGTGCTGTTCTGTGTTCTCGCACCAGGGTTTGCCAAGCTCAGGAGGTGAGCCAGGTGCTCTCCCACCTTCTGCATTGTCTGCATCAATCTGATGCTGCTCTCCGAACGACTGTTAGGACCTGTGTGGATTCTCTGTCTCATCAAGTCAGGTGGAGAAAGTCATGCTCTAGGACACTCTCCCTTCTACGTCTTCAATTTACTGGCACCAATTTATTCCTAACGTTTTACATTGTAAAACTGTTTGGCTGCAGTTTTGCACTCTTTATCACTCACGATATCTGTTTTGTTGTTTTTCTTTATTAATCTTCCCAGAGGTTTGTCCACTTGATTAGTCATGGACACACACACCTTGTAAGTTCTATTGCAATTGATTCTTTTAAAAAATCACTTGTTCCTGCTTTTTTCTTTGTCACTTTCTGGGGGTTGTCACTAAAATTTTTGGGGGTTTATTCTGTTGTTCTCTTCCTAGATTTTCAAACTGTATTCTTAGGTCAATGACTACTACAAGTATGTGGGGAGTTCACTACCACTGAATGATAAATGCTTTCTAATTTCCATATGATTTCTTTTTTGACCCATAAATTATTTAGAAGTGTTAAAAGTTTCCAAAAAAACAATTTGTCACTTTTTTGTTATTCATATCCAGTCTTACTCATTGTGGCCACAGAATGTGGTTTTCATGACATATTCTTAGGTGTTTGTTGAGACCGTCAATTTGTAGGAACATTCCTTGGTTTGAGAGGGTTCGGTGCAGATACCTGCTTCTCTTATGAGTCTGCAGTAACCATTCCTCCGCCTCCGCATCCTGCTTCCCTGAGCGTCTTGTCTGACGTTCCCATGGCTCCGCCAGACAGGACCACGGCAGAGTGGCTTTCTTGTGGTTAATATTTACCTAATGCTTTGTTCCCGACTACTTGCTTTCAACCTTTCTGTGCCGTCGAGTTTTGGTTGTGTCTTATCCACTACACAGCCAAATCAAAGAAAAAACCCAAGTCTGTGACGCTCTCTTCTAGCCGGCAAGTCTGCTTGCTGACGTTTACCGAGGCTGCTGACACAGGCGGGCACGCCCGCCCCACGTGTGAGAATTGTGAGTCACTGCGCTGGTCCTCCCTCCCCTCCGCTGCCTTCTGCTCCTTGGGCAAGGCTTTTTTATTCCTCTCTTTGCCTGGTGTTTATTTGGAAGATCTGCCATTTATTTCTATTCTTTGTGTGGTAACTCTTATATTTTTAACATTCACACTTGCTGTAGTAGAGTCTAAAGTTAATCAATGCGTCTCCTCTTAAATAATACAAGCACTTTTGAAAGCCTTAATTCTGATCAGCTCCATCCTGGGTTATGCTGGTTTCCACTATTTCAGTCTCTTCTTCTATTTTCCCCATATTAATCTTTATCAGTGATTAACAGAACCGAGGCTTATTGAGGTTTCAGCACATATGCACCCATTTCTGTGCTTCCCTCTGCCTTCTGAACCTGACTCCCATCTCCGGAGCTCCATTTCCATTTGCCTAGAGTGTCCCCTCCAGTGTTTACTTCAGCAAGGACCTCTGCACAGTAAACTGTCCATCTTAGACTGGAAGTGAGTTTAATCATACTCACTCCTGAATAACTGCTTCATTAGGTATAGATTTCTAGGCTGACAAGGGTTTTCCCTCAGGCCACTAATGTTACTGTAAACTGTGTTATCAGTTTATTGGCTGTTCCTCTGAAGACAGTCTTTTTGCTCTGGCCGCTTCTACGATTTTTCTTTTGATTTTGATGTTCTGAAAATTTCCAATTTTGTGTCTAGCTGTGGATAGCTGTGAATGTTTTTAAAACTCTGGACTTGGACTTCTTGGATTTCTATGTATTTCATGAATCCAGTGGCCAGGGGTTCACAAGTTTGGATCCCGGGCGCAGACCTATGCACTGCTTATCAAGCCATGCTGTGCTGGCGTCCCACATATAAAGTAGAGGAAGATGGGCATGGATGTTAGCCCAGGGCCAATCTTCCTCAGCAAAAAGAGGAGGAGGATTGGCAACAGATGATAGCTCAGGGCTAATCTTCCGCACCAAAAAAAAAAAAAAAAAAAAGGAGTCAAATCAATCCCAGGACCTTAGACATTGCAAAACAAGCTGAATAAGTGATTTACCTGGAAAACCTTTAATTAAGATTCACCCAAGAAGTGGTAAGAGAAGCACGTGGCAAACTAGCTGCCTTACTAACAGACAGTTAGCCCTCTATTTCTAGTCTAAGTGAAGGCACCGCGCAGAACGTGCGTGGCGGGGCTCCACCGGCGGACCCGCGGACCTTCCCACCCTGATTCATTCGCTCATGTTCCCACATGTTTTTCTGCAAAATAGGGAATATTTTCTTACAAAACAAAAGCATAAGGTTTATCTCAGATGGAAATGATGCAATCCTTGCTGTTGGGGACACAGGTTTAAACCCTAATGTCGCCCTTTCACATGTCACCGTCATCTCACAAGGATGCAGCAAAAAACTCCCGACTGGTCCCCTGCTCCAACACAGCAGCCGCTCTTCTGCTCAGAGCCCCTCAAAGGCCAAGGGTTTCTCATTCACAAAGTCCCTACATGTTACCCTCACCTCTGGGGCTTGGCCTCCTGTGCTTCTCCTGGACCTCGCTCCATTGCGATCTCTCACACACTCCCCAAGGGTCTCTGCCCTGACTCCCTCGGCCCAGAACGCACCTTATGCACCAACACCACCACCCCCACATCCTTCCCACCTTCTGCTCCACTGTCCCCTTCTCCACACGCTGGCTCTGATGCTCTGTTCCCAGTCCCAATTGCACCCTGACCCTCACCTTCCTCTATCTGTTTTCTGCAGCCCTCTCTCCTCCAGGCAGGCTCCAGGTTACTTATTTATTATGTTTATCGCATACTGTCTCCTCCCACCCCGCTAGAATGTCAGCTCCACAAGGCAGAGACTGTTGTCTGGTTCTTCACTGACAAACACTCAATAAGTATTTGCTAAATAAATGAATGCCAGAGCAGGAAAACCTATAAAGGAAAACATGTCATATCACGGACAGCAAAGGCTGGGGAATTTGCAAATCAGCCTTACTGGGGCAGGTCAAATAATTTCCTAAATACAGCTGTTAATTTCCTAAAGGAAAAGCTCTCTTACCCTGAAATCAACCTTTCAAAAGGTTTCTTAGCGAGAAAGTATTTAAGTTCATTTTTAAATTCTAGCACTGAGATCGAGACTCTGGCTGTCCCAGTGTCTGGAGGCTTTCTTGGTGAGGAATGCAGTCCTGAGCAAGGGCAGTCCTGACCACTTCCACAAGACTGGTGTTTCTTCACTCAGGAAGCTGCCCCAGTTCACCTTGTCTACTAAAGATAGCTGATAAAGTGTGCCCAACTGCAGGAAAAAAGGTAGACCAACTCAGGTAATGTTCTCTCTTCTACTTTATAGGAAAATGACTTCCAAACCAGGACCATGGTCTAATGTCTCATTCAGGTTTTGACTTTAGGTGTTGGTTCTAAATTTGATGTGTATGTTGGGATTCTGTGCATGTGTGACATGAGTCACTTCTCACTATCACGGCAAATTTAAAAGATGATGACCTATCTGCCCCAGGAGGACACCGTTCTACAAGAGATAACTCATATACTTGGAAATCATCAACTCTTACCTATGAAAATCCTGAATCTCTAATTGTCATATTGCAGGTTTGTTCCTCTAAGTAAGATATTTTGGAAAACAAATACTAGAAATGTTCTAGTCTACTGACTAATGAAGGAAATTAAAAAGTTTCAAAATTGTATATTATTCAACTATAAGGACAGCATCCCTCTAAAATGTAGTTTAGGTACAAATTCCAATTTCTCTCAATCTCACAGCCTTTCATTTAGTCCTAGGAGACCATAACCTGTCCCCCAACCACCTGAGGTTGGGTTTTCTTCTCTGGAACAACTCCATTGCCCTTTTTACTTTTTACTCCTGCCCACCCAGGAAGGACTAGGGGGCGTGCCCATCAGGGAGTGCTTTTCAGAAGGTGAACAGTTTCCAGCTTCCAGGTCTAATTTCCAAAGGACTAGGATTAAGTTTAAAATAACAGCGTAAGTAACAAAATTAAACAAGGGACCTAAACGTAGATACTACAGATTTGTGTAAACGAGTATTTTACCTTACTGTTCTCTCCTGTGCATGTGAGAGAAATGCATACAAAATTCTGAGTAGAATACATCTAAAACGACCTCTCTTTAAAAGGTGCACTAAAGTCTTTCCAATCAGTTTCTTAATATCATACATTATCACCAAAATATATCATCATAGAGACCAGAAGGCTCCCCTTAAAGGAGCAAAGAGGAAAAGTCCAAAATCTTGTGGCAACGTATGGCAACACTGGAGAAAGAATTTAAAAGCAGAGAACAACATAAAAAGCCTTTCAATACTGCTAGGAAAAAGCCAGCAAGATGGAAAAACTTAAAAGAGGTCAAGAGGATGATCAGCGAGGAGCTACATAACTTACATAATTTATAACAGAGGACTGGAAATGTCTTAGGGCTCCTGGGGCATCTGTCAATTACCTCTCCTTACCACAGAAGAGAAGTCGCCCACAGTAACAAGCGCGAGTCTCCGTGCCTTCTGGAGCTTTTCTAAATATATCCCGTACAAACGCTTCTTAAAAAGAAATGAGGGGGCCGGCCCCGTGGCTTAGTGGTTAAGTGCGTGCGCTCTGCTGCTGGCGGCCCGGGTTCGGATCCCGGGCGCGCACTGACACACTGCTTCTCCGGCCACGCTGAGGCCGTGTCCCACATACAGCAACTAGAAGAATGTACAGCTATGACATACAACTATGTACTGGGGATTTGGGGGGAAAAAATAAATAAATAAAATCTTTAAAAAAAAAAAAAAAAAAAAAAAAAGAAATGAGGGCAAGAACGTGTGGCGTAGCTGATATTCCGTGCTCAAATTGAATACCAAGTGTACAAAGAAAAATACCATAGCTCAAACTACCAGAGCCAGCTGGATTTCATCGCTTCTCCGGCAGGTTATCACACAGTTCATGGAAGTGTCACAGACCACAGATCTTTCCCCGCGTTATGTAAGAATCTCTCTTAGACGAGGTCACCTGGGCCAATCGGGGCACCGCAGAGCGCACCAGAAACCGCCTGGACGATTTTTACTGTGCAAACTAAACACACAGATTTCCTATCGTGCCAGCATTCCTCGAGAATAACCCACCAGTCAGAGGAGAGCGCCGCGGGCCGAGACGTCCACTCTCCCGCCCTGGAGTCCTCCAGGACCTGGTCTTGCGGCCCGGCCTCACCCCCCCGACCCTAGGTGATCACCCCCAGGGTACTCGCACCGCGCTCGCCACAGGTAAAGGTTCAGCGCATCCTCAACACAGACCGACAGGACCTGCCACTATCTCTCCGCTAACGGCGACGCTCCCCGGAGGCCAAAGGGCCCTCAGAGCCTCCTGGGCCGGGCGCGACCCGCTTTCTGCCCATTCTCCGGGCCCGGCCCTTGGACCCTGCTTTCCGGGTACCCCCGACAGGAACCCCCGCGCCCGGCCGCACTCACTGTTGTACTGCACGCCTTTCGCGAAGCGCCTCTGCAGCGCCTGGTTCATGGACTGCAGCCCGGCGGGGATGTTCTTGTCGCGGCCGGCAGCCTGCTCCGATCCCACCAGCTTCTTGAGCGCGGAAAACATCTTCCCGCTCCCACGTCCGAGCCCGGCGCGGCCCGCGAGCTCAGCGGCGGCGGCGGCGGCGGCGCGGCGCGGATCGCACCATGACCTGGGGCCCGGCAGCCGTGCGCCCGCCTCGAGGGCGGCTCGGGGGCTCAGCCGCGGCGGCTCCGCTCCGGCTCCCGCGGCCCCCAGAGCGGCCACCCTCCGCCCGTCAGCGCTGCCATCTTGGCGCCTGCGGGGCGCGGCGTGCGGCTACGGGGCGCCTCGAGGGCCACGGAAGTGCGGCGCGCGCGGCGAGGCGCGCATGCGCGGACGGAGGCCGGTTCAGGGCAAGCGGCTAAGGGGCGCCGCGAGGGCCGCGGGGGTGAGCGCATGCGCGGGGCCGCGGGCTCGGCGGTCCAGCTTTCCGAGCCGCCCCCGTGGTTTCAGGTCAGCTGAGACCTCCGTCCGTGTCTCCGCCCGGACCCCTGCTCAACCTCACCCCACAACTCCGGGGCCCACATCCACAGCTAACACCCCACCGTCCCCCAGACTTCCCGACGTGATTCCCCATCTCTGCGCCCCCCAGGTTCATTTTTTCTGAGACTCCTGTCTCGCCGGTGTCGCCAGCAGTCCTGGAAAAATGCTTTATTGTGTAGAACAGCGGGGGCATGGGGGGCGGGGGCGGGGACGGGGAAGGGGCCCCTCCTCCTCCTTCTCCGGGTCACTTCTTCTTCTTCTTGGCCGCCTTGAGCTTCCCCTCGATCAGCCGCTGGCCCTGCCTCTTGATCTCGGCCCGCGAGGGGACGTAGCTGTGGTCCACGTCAGCGAACTGGAAGGTTTCTAGAAAGGAGGGCGAGGAGGAGGGGGCCGCGCTCGAAGCCCTGTCTCCAACCGCGGTTTCGGTTTCGTAGATTCTGGATTTGTCTGTTGGCACTCATTCATCACAGGCCAGGTAGTCACTGTATTTTCTTACTTTCTGTGTTCCTGACGCTCTGGCATTTGGGGTCTTACAGGCCGGGGACAGACTGCGCTCCCAGGGCTAGCCAGTTCTCAGACAGCAGAGGGCTCGCCCCTGGGCTTGTCTTTCAGGCAGACCAACCAATCCAGAGGCCACACGCCCATCACCTCCTTTATCAAACTCGCACACCAAGCCAGTATTACGCGCCGAAACGACCCAGGACCGGGTACCAGACAACTGGGGCCAGCGCCCATGCCCCAAGCCCGCAGGGCTTCTTCACAAGCCAGTCTTAAACTGTGTACCTGCCCTGCCTTGCGCTTCCCGCAGAAACCCCAGTGAAGGCTCTGGCCTAGCCTTCCCCTCGCTCCCTCTGCCTCCTGACTGGCACTGGCGCTTCCGTGTGTCAGGAAATGTAAAAAATTCTTTGAATGGCATTAGTCTCCACGTCCTCACTAAGTCACCTCCATAAATTAAAACCCGTGGGTACAACTGACACCTGCTCTACGTCTCTGTAGCCCCCACTGTCCCTCCAGCCTGCCCTGGTGAGATGCAGCGAGCGCCGTCCCCAGCCTCTGCTTCTGCACAGCTCAGACCAGCCATCTGCCCAGCCCACAACCTGTACCTATCATATCCTCCTCCAGGCCCTCGAAGCTGATCCTGGTGTTCTGCTTCTCCTTCAGAGTTGAGGACTCCAAGGCGTCCCTCACCTTTGTGTTGATCTGCAGGGCACAGGGACTGTTGGCTCCGAGAGAACATGGGACGCATGAGCGCCTCCCCCTCTCAAGCCCAGGGCTACCTCCTCAGTCCTGGACAAGAGCTGCACTCTGTCCGCCAGGTACAGGAGCTTCTCCTCGCAGTACGCCAGCTTGCCGTTCACATCGAGGGTGCCAGAGGGCACTGCTTCTTTCTGTAGGCCGAGAGGAGGGTCTCATCTCCCCTCGGGCCTCTCCCAGAGACCTTCTGTGTAGGCGGCTCCTCCCCGCTCTGGCTGGTACCTGGGCCGTGGGCAGGGCGATGCCAATCAGCCGGATGTAGAGGGTGTCAATGCCCATCTGGAGGGTCAGCAGCAGCTTCTGGCTCTTGGTCATCTTGGTGTGAGCCAGCTGTAGCCTGTCTTCCTCCTCCTTCAGCATGTCCCTCATTTTCTTCTCGACGGACTTAAAGCTGTTGGGGACGATGGGGAGGGAGATGGCACAACCCTGAGGGCAAGGCAGTCAGTGTCCTGAGCTGGGCGCTGTGCTAAAGTCAGGGGCTCGGGAGCTCAGATGTAGGCATGTGGGGTCCCCTGGCAGGGCCTTCGTAGCTCATCTGCAGAGCACTCATGCGCTTCCTGGCTGTGGGGACACTCAGCTTCAACCCTGGCCCCAGCCCATGGGGCTGTTCATGAGGACCCGAGGAGGGTGGCCCCGGAGAAAGGCAGGGCCTTTCTGGGGTACCTGATGGAGCTGGGTGTCTGGTGGAACCTGAGCATGGCCTCCTCCAGCTCCAGCTTCCTTGTCAAGGCCTCCAGCTGTGCCCGCCGCTCTGCACAGTCCTCCATCTGTAGCTCCAGGTTATCCTCCGTGTTCTTCTGAGCCAGGAACCGGCCGGCGATGTCCTGGCCAAGCCGGTGGGGGCAGAAACACGTATGGGCCAGGAGGCCTGGGGCCCCACAGAACTGGTTTCTTCTGGGTCCCGCCCAGTGATCAGGAATGACGTCGACTGTGGCTGGGCACTGAGGGCTTGCGAGGGGCCAGCCATCAGGTGAAGGACTTTATGTGTGTCATTGCACATAACCCTCACAACAAGCAGACAGGGCAGATAACCCCAAGGTGGAGACAAGGAGACCACCACTGAGAGACTGCGTGGCTTTGACTCACTTGTCCATGGATGGACAAAGTTATGTCAGGGCCAAGGATGGGAGCTGAATGCTTACTAATAATAAACCCGGGTCAGAGTAGCGTAATGGGGGCCAGGAGAGGAAGCTGCTCATTATGACACTGTCGGTTTCGGAAGGGGATGGAGTTGGAGGTGGAGGCCATGCCCTCAGCATCTGGATCCTCGCATTCCAGCAGGATGGTGGCTCGGGTATGCCAGCCACGTCCCGGCAGTGCCTGCTACTCGGAGCCATGGGGGCTGCAGCTTTGTGTGTCCATTCATTCAAAAGGTGCCTGCAGACCCTTGTCCAGCTCCACCAGACCTTGGGCTGGGGCAGGGCCCCCCCCATGCCCCAGGAGTGCCAGGGAGCAGTACCCAGAGGTGGGAGCACTGCACAGCAGTCTTGACTTTCTCCACCAAAGCAGTCACGTCCGTCTGGTATTCGATATCAGCCTTGGAGGTCTCTCTTTTCCTCACTGGGCACAGCAGAGGGGAAGGGGCCAGCATGCAGGAAGGGCGTGGGAACTCTGCCCAAGGCCACTGGATGCCTCCGTATGTGCCCAGTCATCAGGGGAGGCCACCCAAGAGTGGGGTACCTATCAGGTAGCCTTCTTCCTCCTCGGCCGGCCCTTCAGGGATGCCCCAGGGCAGCTCCATCCAGAGGAGAACTAGAAGCAGCCTGGCACAGTGCGGCTTAGTGGTGCTTCTCAGAGGTGGCTCCGGGACCCAGGGGATTTGACTCATCTTTTCTGAGGAGTCACGGGATGACCGGGTCCTGGGGTGCCAGGAGACGGCATGGCCACGTGCATTTTACAGCCGAGAAGCTGGGGGCTCAGCCACTCTTGGCTGTGACCCCAAAGCTGGTAGCGGCTCCTTGAAGCATGCACTGCGGCTGTTGGTGCACAGAGGAGCGATAGGGGCTCGTCTGTCTCCCTCTCTGGCCACTACAGGTTGCACCTGGCCTCACAGTGACCCTACTGATGGCCGAGCCAGTGCCAGTCTCCCGGGGTCCTGGCTGGGGGCGGGCAGGGAGCTGGGTGCTTACCTTTCAGGGTTTCCTTGCTCATCAGGTTGGATGAGAAGTCCAGGTCCCGCCGGCCCTGATGGTGGGGGAGGAGGAGGTGAGCAGCGTCCTCTGCCAGGCAGTGGGCCACCCCAACCGTCCTCGTGCTGCAGTGGGGGTCGTGGCGGGGCTGTGCCCGGTGGCTGGCCTGGCCGGGACTCACCCGGCGGTACCGCTCGCTGGTCTCCTTGGTGTGGATCTTGTCGATCAGCTTCTTCTGCTGGTTGAGCCGGTTCTCCCGTGCCCGCCGCTCCTCGATGAAGGTCGCCTCTCCTTGCCTCATGTTCCTCTGGGGACACAGGGAGGCGGGCGGGGGTCTGTCTCACCAAGGCCTCCTATGGTGCTAAATCCAGGGGTCAGTCTCAGTCCCATCTTCCTAGATTTGGGAATAGCATTCGAGGCTATTGGCCACACCCTTCTTCCTAAAACACCGGTACCTGCGGCCTTCGCCATCCTTCTTGCTTTCGGCCATCCTCTCAGGATGCCCTCTCCCACCTGGCCTCTGAGCCGTGGAGCCTCCCCTGGCCTTATGCTCCTCCCCAGCTGCAGCCACAGCTCGGGGACCAACTCCCATGTGCCTAACGGATTTCTCTCTCCAGCCTGGGCTCTCTGCTGCCTCCCGCCCAGCTCCACCTAAAACTCACTAACGTGGATTCCACATGTCTAAAAACGACTCATCATCTTCCCCAAACCCGGTCCTTCCAGCATGTCCAGCTTTGGTGGCTAAATCCATTGTCTAGCCATGCCTGCGGATGCATCCTGGACGCTGCTCTCTCCCTCACTGTTCACATGTCACTCAGTGCCAGACCTCATTGGGGTGACCTCTTAAAGGCTTCTCGGCTCCATTCTTCTTTGGCCACCCAATTACACCCCTGGTCTGGCCCAAGTGACCAGCATCTCAGCCCTGGTCCCCTCCAGTCTCTGCAGCCAGGATGCACCGGTTTTGAAATACAAATCTGGTCCCATCTCCGTCTGTCTCTTCCCAGGGCTGCAGGTTAGGTTAGGGGCGGACACCTAAGCCCTGGCCACCCCACTGCCTTGGCCGGCTCACAGGCTGCGTTCCTTGGCAGCTGCTGGGTTCCAGCTGCTCATGCCCCTTTCTGGCCCTGTTCAGCCCCATGACCTTTGTTGTCCCTCCTCCTCCAGGGCTTGGATCGCCTGACCTCCAGAGCCCCCCACTCAAGCACCGCCTCCCTGAGCCGGTCAGTGCCCCAGGGCAGCCACATGGCACCCACACCTCTCTGCAGTGCTGGTCAGAGGCTATGTGACCTTTCCTAATGGACTGCTGGATGAGCTTCTTGAGAACGGGCATGCCTGCCTTGCAGGGGCCCTTGGCACAGACCGGGTGAACGGTGGCCCCTGCCCAGACCAGACCAGTCCTCTCCTTCCTACGTCTACCGCAGGGCTTCTGGGCCCAGTGGGACCCTCTCTGTCCAGGGCCACAGCGTGTGAGCAGAGCAGGCTGGCAGGGCGGGCAGGCGGTGTGGGCAAGGGTGTGTCCTGATGGACCCAGGACCAGACAGGTCCCAGAGAGCCCTGCAGGGCCCCCCAGCCCTGGGACCTGAGCTCACCTTGACCTCATCTGTAATCGTCATGGCATCTTGGGACATGACTGTCATATCCGACAGTTCCGAACAGTAGGCACCCACGAGATGCTGCAGCTTGTCCAGCTCCGTGGGGTATCCTGCCAGCTCCTGCATGGAAAGGGGCAGGCGAGCACCCAGCCTGAGGGCCAGCCCCATGCTGCCGTGCTCCGTGCCGGCTTCCTCGGCCCTCCCCGGTTCTCTGGTGGCCCCTAGAGTGGACCGCGCCTGCCCTCTACCCCTCACCCCAGACTGTGCGAGCCCTGAGGATGGTGATGGGTCTGGCCTGTGGCCCCAGCCCCCAGCCGGGCACAGAGCAGGTGAAAGGAAGTGTTTCGGGAGGGGCAGCCAGCATCTTCCTGGTGGGCGCTCCCACTGCCCAGGGCCACACAGCCCAGAGGCATGTCCGAAGAGGTTGTGATGGGATGCCCCAGCATGTGAGAGGTGACTCTGAAACCCAGGGAGGCTGCTGCTTGGGAGCGGCTGCTGTCTGAAGCAGAGGGCCAGAGACTCAGGGCTCAAGGCCAAGGCCACCCTGACCAGCCAGCTGTGAGACCTTGGGAAAGCCACTTAACTTCTTTGAGGATCCCCATCTGCAAAAAGGTGATAATGGTTCCTCCAGAAGGTTGCCGTCAGGATCATTGAGAGGGTATAATGTGTTTACACAGGACCAGTTCATAAATGTCCAAGATATCTTGGCTCTTAGTATTTTGTTGTTATTTAACTACAATGTAGAGTCTTCACTGGTTTTTTAAAAATGCAGGTGACCGCAGGAGTTATTAAAAAAAATGCGTATGGGGGCCAGCCCAGTGGCGTAGTGGTTAAGTTCCCGTGCTCCACTTTGGCGGCCCGGGGTTCACAGGTTTGGATCCTGGGCGCGGACCTACACACTGCTTATCAAGCCATGCTGTGGCGGTGTCCCACATATAAAGTAGAGGAAGATGGGCATGATGTTAGCCCAGGGCCAGTCTTCCTCAGCAAAAAGAGGAGGGTTGGCAACAGATGTTAGCTCAGGGCTAATCTTCCTCACACACACACACACACACACACACACACACACACACACACAAAATGCGTATGTTCTGAAAAGATAAGAAGGTGCCCCTGGGGGGACATAATGTGCCTAGGTAAAGGAGGGGTGGGACCCTGAGTGCAGTTGGCATGGGAAGGGGTGAGAGGAGGGGGCCCAGGAAGGGCAGAGGGGCAAGGCCTCCATCTGTGTCTCCAGGACCAGGGGGCCAAGGTGGAGGGACAGGCGGGAGGATGAAATTGTGTACTGCCCAGCTCTGGGGAACATGGGCAGGATCTAGGGGGCTGTGATCACAGCCGGGAGAGCTGCAGTGCCCACCCATGCCCCCACACCCTGCTCCCAACCACATTTCCTGTCATCCTCCTGGCCGCACTGTCCTCCAGGGCTCCCCCTCCCCCAGCCTCAGGATGAGGGAGTTTGGAGGGCTTCTCTCTCTGTTCCTGGCCTCCAGCCCTCATGTCCTCCTCCTCCTCCTCCCATCTACTGTCTACCTGGCCTGTGGCAGGTGCCTGTGCTCTGCTGCGTGGGGACCGAGGGGAGCCTCTGTGAAGACGTCTTGTCTCACAGCAGGGCTCACTGCCCCTGGGGGCCTCCTCCACAGGCAGCAGGGCGCTGGCTCACAGAGGTGGGCAGCGGGCCTAGGTTACCGGCCTGCTCAGAGGTGGCTTGCCCTGCATGATGTTAGGGAACTTCCTGAGAGTGCAGAGCCCATCCTGCCCTCAGAGGCCAGGCATTGAGAAATGACAGGGGCAAAATAAAACCACACTAAACTACCATATACATGCAAGAAGACCTGAACAATTTCACACGCCCAGGATATGCGTTTTTAGAGTAGCAAACATCAAGTTCTTGGAAGAATTTTTCCAGGTGCGCTGCACGTGCCCCTGCTCAGCTGGCGCCCAAAGCAGGGCTTAGTCCTCCTGGGGTGATCCAGCCCGGAGGAGAGGGGCAGGCCTGGGTGGCCCTGGCCTGGAGCCTCGCCCCACGAGATCCCACCCAGCCTGGCGCACAGGGCGTGGCCTGAGACCCCGCCCCTCCCGGCCAGCTGGGATCCCTGGGCTGGGGTGAGGGGACTCACTCTCTTCAGATAATCCAGCAGGTCCAAGTACAGCAGGTGGATGTTCTGGCTTGTGGTGATCTTGACCATCGTCTTTTCGATGTTGTTCTCCAGCTGGCGGATGACCTGGGGGCGGCCCGAGGGGGGCGCTGGGCTTTCTTCCAAGGGGTCTCATTCATCTGGCCCCGTCCCTTCCGCGGAGCCCCGCCCACTGCTGAGGCCCCGCCCCACCCCTCCCACGGAGCCCCGCCCGCCGCCGAGGCCCCGCCCCGCCGCCCCACCTGCATCATGCGCAGCTCGTCTTTGGTGGCATCGGGCTGGTTCTGCAGGCTGGCCAGCTCCAGCTGCATGCTCTCCAGCTGCTGCCCGCGTCGTCGCACCAGGTGGATCAGCACGTTGTGCACGTTCACGCGGTCGAAGACATACTTGCGCAGCTTCTCCCTCGCCACCTGGCTCGGGGAGGGCAGGCCCACGCATGGGTGCGCAGGGGCCCGCGGAGCCGGCCTGGAGTGGGTGGGCAGGGAGGGGCCCATGCCAACCCCACAGGGACCCCAGGGCTGGGGACTCTCTGTGACCCCCACTGGCTCCGCAGCGCTGTTTAGTGGGGGGTGCACTGGCTGGCGGCGCTACGGGACTCCGCCTTACCTCCGTGGTGCAGCGGCAGTGTGCCAGCCTCGTGGGCACGTCCTTCCCGCAGGCCTTGGAGATGGTCCACTGGTCGTACTGTGGAGTGGCGGCGGCTGAGCGAGGGGCTGGGCCTCTCTGTGTACCCCCAGCCGCCGACCCCGCCCCCGCATTCTTCCCAGGCCTTGTCTGCCCTGTACTAGCCCAGCAGTAAGACCCCAGCTCCTGGGCCCATAGGAGGCAGAGTGCTACAGCACCCCATCTGGGCCATCTTGGCTTGGATGCGATGGGGGTCCAGAGAGGAGGGCCTAGGTCTCCCCTAAGTGAAAATTAATAAAGGGAAACCTCATTTAAAATGCAGTGGGGAAGCCCTGTAGGGGGAGTTCTCAAACACACACCAGCATCACAGCTCACTTGACAGTTTTGGGCAGGAAGTGCAACTATTTTACAACTCCAGCAGCTGGAAGGAAGGTTTTTCTCCTTGCCCAGCAACAGCCCAGCTGATGAGAAGCAGTTGCCGCCCTGAACTCTTACTCTTCTCCAATGAACTTTCCTTTAGAACAGCCCCCCTCTCCATAAAAGCAAGCTCCCCTGCTTTGTTCTCTGGACGTGCCTGTGGTTTATTGTAGTTTGCATGTCCTGAATTGGGATTTTTTTGCTATTCCCAAATAAACTCCTTTTGCTGGGAAAATAACTGGCTATTTTATTTTATTTTTGGTGAGGAAGATTGGCCCTGAACTAACATCTGTTGCCAATCTTCCTGTTTTTTGTATGTGGGATGCTACCACAGCATGGCTTAATGAGCGGTGTGTAGGTCCATCCGTGCCCGGGATCCAAACCCATGAACCCTGGGCTGCTGAAGCAGAATGTACAAACTTAACTACTACACCACCGGGCTGGCCCCTGGCTATTTTATTTTAAAGTTGACACCTATACGGCCAGAGAGCTAGAAGGGCCCCTGCTGCAGGGGGTAGCCTGGGGAAAGGGGCCCCAGTCAGGCCCTGGGCCTTGCCCTCTGGGGTGGATGGTGAGGAACCTGTCCCTGGGGGCTCACTGGTGTGACTGGAGCCCTCCTGGAGATGCCCCTGGCTCCAGAAAGGTGGGATCACAGCGGGGAAAGGCGAGGAGGTGCCTGCCATCCACCTGTCTGGCTGTTTCAGCACGTGCCCACCCCACCTCCAGCCAGTAGGCGGCAGGGAGGGGCCGGCTGTTCACCTTCTTGGCCAAAGCCCAGTCTTGGGCCCCGTGGCGGATCTTACTGCGCAGGAGAGCCAGCGTCTCCTTGTTCTTGACCGTCTTCTCCTTCATCGCCTGGACCTGCAGCGCCCGACATTGCTCTGTGGGCGAGGGACAGGTCAGCCAGGATGTGGGCCAAGGGCCTGGCCGGGATCCCTGGGCTGGGGAGGCTCGCATCACGGGGTGGGGGCATGAGGATGCTGCCTCCACAGCCACACTCCCGCCTCCCAGCCTGCCATGGGGGCCACCGGCTTCACTGCTCAGCAGTGCTTATCTGGACGGCTCTCAGTGAACGGCTGTGCCGGCCAGTGGGGAGGGTGAGGTGGAAGCCAGGGATGGACACGTCCTGTGATCCCTTCCAGACGTACTGGCCACGGAGGCAGGCGGGTCTCTTGCTGTCCCCTCTGGCTTTGGGGCCCACCACGCTCTCAAATCTCCTTGAAAACCCCAGTTTCTCCTCTGCCCCCGCCCCCTGCATGCCAGGCCCCTTTGATCTCTTCTCCCGGCTCTGTTTGGGGGTGGGCAGTAGGGTGGCCACTAGCCTGCTTGCCCTGGACTGTCCCTGTGTTAAAACTGAAAGTCCTGCACCTGGGAGCCCCTGAGCCCCGGGGCGGTGGGGCGGGCCGGCTGGTCACTGCAGCGGTGGGCTCACCCTGGAGCCGGGTGATGGTCTTCATCTCCTGGATCTGCTCGTCCACATCTGCCTCGCTGTGCATCTTCATGGCGGCCCTCAGGGTCCTCCAGGGGCCCTCCGCACCTCCTGCCCTCCCTGTGCTGGGCCTGCTCAGCAGAACCACAGCTCAGACTGTCCCCTGAATCTCGGCCCATTGTGATGGGGGCCAAGGTTCTCAATGCCCAGGGAACCCTGGAATTCCTAGCCCACCCTGCCCCCACCCTTGGCCCCTAGCCGGCCTCCGGGTCATGCCCTGGATGCTTGAGTCTTGTGGCTGCTCCCTGCTCAGGAGTGCCGCCTGGGTCAAGGCACGTTTCTTCCACAGGGTGGTGATTGGTGGCGGTTTGACACTGCACCCCACACCGGCCCCCCTGCACCCTCCCCATCCCCTCCACGCCCCCAGGCCATCGTCCACTGAGCCTCCTAAAACTTCCAACCCCTCACTGCTTTGTGAGCTCTCCATTCCCCCACGCCACCCCAAGTTCAAACTCCGCACCCTGGGTGACCTGGCTCATGAGACCACAGCCTTGGCCCTCACTCCCCCATCTCTCCCTGACCTTCACCTGCTACCTGGAGCCCGCCCTGTTCACCCTCGGCCCTCCCTCTGAACCCAGGCCTTATCCTCAGGGGGTTGGAAGGACCTGAGCATGGTCTGCTCCCTGTCCCCCTACCCTGTCCTCCCAAGGCCTGAGGCAGAGCCTGCTCACTGTCCCCCAATATTGGTTCTCCCTTCTTCCTCAGATATAGAACCCCTGAACTTTAGTGGGGCACATGGCTGCCCAGGGCAAGGCTGCCTTCCCAGGTGTCTTTGCACTAGGCATACCACATGACTTAGTTCTGGCCAATGGAGTGTAAGCAGAAGTGGTGAGCAAACTGCCCTCCTCCTCCTCCTTTCTCCTTCCTATTGACTGGGATGAAGACATGATAGCTGGAGCTGGTGCATCAGCCTGGGACCATGAGGTAGATTTAGAAGTGGAGGCCACAGCAAGGAACAGACTAAAAGGAGCCGGGGTCCCTGACTCCTTATCAGCCCTGGACCACCCACTTGGACTTTTACCTGGAAGAAAACGAAAACTCTAGCTTGCCTGTGCCATGGTTATCTTGGCTTCCTGTCCTTTTGCCTTCCCACCAACAGATTCCCTGGTGCACAGTAGGTGCTCAATAGACATTCTTTTGAATGACTGGCTAGGCCAAGACGCGCAGGGGCTGAGCCGGGGCTGGAGCAGCACAGCCCTGGGTGTGCCTTCACTGTCACTGGGAAGCCAAGTATAAAGGACGATGGACTCGCCCAGGTTTTATATAATCTCTGCCTGTTCCTCTGCTGGGGGTGGTGAGGTGGGTGGTCTTGCCCACTCAGGAGCTCTCCTTCCATGTGGACAGAGCTCCAGTAAGCTAGCTCTGGCCCCCTCCGCCCCTCACCTCCTCCTCCCCTGGAGAGAAGTGGCTTATTCTGATAGGTGTGTTGAAATGACAGGCAAGTGGGCCAGCCACTTCAGTCCCTTGTCTCCAGAGCCAGGCGCCGATTGGCTGCACACCTGCTCTGCTCCTCCACACCAAACTGTATGAAAGCAGGCCCCCATGTGGAGCGGCCTCGGTGGTCTTACAGGGCCCACAGGGCCGACGGGAGTGTCTAATTCTGGGGTCAGTGTTAGGAACTGCCCTGGCACGCCCTCCAGTATCAGCTGTATGGCACGAAGGTGACACTTGTCTCTCATTCTTTCCGCTTTAACTCCTTTCCCAATTGGTTTAGAACTCAGGTGGGAACAAGGGCGTTTATTAGTCCCACAACCCCCAGCAGCAGCTGTCACCTCTGACTGTGGGGGGTGCGGGGGCCAGAAAGGGAGTGTCAGAGCACCAGAGGTGCAGAAGTCCCCTCCACCTTGCGCCCCCGAGCTGCTGCCCCCAAACGCATGCATGAGACAGGCCATGATCCTCTCCTCTCCGATCCTCTCTGGCTCCCCATGTCCACTATGTTTCTCGCTGCCCTTTCTGGTCTGACCTCCGGGGCAGGGCCCAGGCTTGGGACAAGAGCAGTCTGCATGGGTCTGGCAGACCTGGTCATGCATGTGTGCAGGGGATACAGTTGGGGCACCTTAGGGTGTGGGGAGGGCCTATGTGTGTGGGGAAGCCTGGGGTGTGGAGACGCTGTGGGCTGTGTTCTAGAACTCTCCGGCCCCAGATCTTCTGCGCCGGCTGGAGCTCTCCTAGCTGTGCCGATCTGTAAGAGGCAACAAGGGACAGCTACAACCATACTCTAAAGCTGCTCATGGTCCCTGCACTCATTTTACCGTGACAAAAACAGAGGCCCCGTAACAAGGACGCTGGCAGTGCAGGCCAGGCCTGAGATCAATCAGCCGCTCTTCTTGGGGTGCCCACACTCCCCACTCCACACTCCCCCCATCCCAGGGCCACTCAACCCCTCCTGGGTCTTCCTCCTGCACACAGGGCTCTGGGAGGTCTGTCTGCTGTGTGCACTCTCACGTCCGCCCCTCCAGGATGTGCACGCTGAGGGGACAGGCCAGAAGGGAGAGGCCCTGTTCAGCCTGCACCTTGGGCCCTGGGCTTGTCTGCCTAAAAATCTGGGCCCTGGAGCCTCAGGTTCCATGTCCCGCTGCCCCTGGGCCTCTCACCTGTGCCTGCGTCTTTGGGGAGCTGCCCCGTCTCCAGGAAGAGCCAGAGGTTGCTGCATTTCTGCGACTCCACTCGCGTCACCCAGTAGCTGGCCACTGAGCCTGCGACTGGGGAGCAGGGGGCAGGGGCCGGTGGGCTTGGGGGCCTGGGCCTCTGCACTTCTCAGGGAAAGGAGACCTGGGCACAGGCTTCTGGGCAGACAGTGGTGGTGGGCTCACGCAGGGCTGCCATCGAGAACTGGGGTCCCATCCCAGGAGGCAGGAATGCCTGGAACCAGAGGCCCCGCCCCCATCCAGCAGGAACCCACCCCTGCTGAGGAGCCAGCGTCACCTCTGGCAGCCGGTGCATTTCAGGGGTCCCAGGCACAGAGTACATACCCACCGCCATCAGCAAGTTCCACTGAAAGGGGTACTGAAACTTCCTCTGAATGAACATCTGCAGGCCAGAGGTCGCCCCGGTGCCTGCCAAGAGCCACGGTCCCCATCAGCCAGCCTGTCCACCCGGCTGGCCAGTGGACCACCTGGGCACAGCCTGAGAGCCCGCGGCATCTGCCAGGCTCCCAACACCAGCGGACAGGCGACCTGGCGCCACCTGCTGGGGAGTCAGGGTGAGACAGGAGGGTGACGTCTCTCCACACCCCAGGACACCTGGACTCAGCCTACCTGTGATAAAGGTGAAAACGCCCTTCATGAAGGCGTTCGACTGGCACGCGGCATACTCCCCGAGTCCCTGGGATGGGAGAGGGGTAAACTCAGTTCCTCTCCCTCTTCCTTCACCGCCCCTCTTGTCCCTCCTTGGGGCACACTGGCCGTGGGGGAGACTACCACTCGCCGTGAGGCCCTGGGGGCTTGGACACATCCCACCTGCGCCCATGCCCACCCAGGACGCCCCGATCCCCATAGCAAGAGGGTCCTCCCTCTCTGCCCCTCTTCCCTGACAAGGGCACCCCCACCCAGCCCCCCGCCTCGCTCAGGTCAGGTCCTGAGGTCCGGGGCCCGCGTCCCAGGCCGGCCTTCTCACCGGGTGCTTGGCAGCCACGGCGTCGTCCACCCGGGACAGGCCCAGGTTCACCATGGCCGGCGGGGCGCGGGGAGCGGGCTGGCGGGCCTGCGCAGGACCGGGCGGAGGGGGCGGAGCCGAGCGAAGGGGGCGGAGCCGGGAGCAGAGGCGGGGCCGGTCGGAGGGGGCGGAGCCGGGAGAAGAGGCGGGCCGTGCGGAGGGGGCGGAGCCGAGCGAAGGGGGCGGAGCCGGGAGCAGAGGCGGGGCCGGTCGGAGGGGGCGGAGCCGGGAGAAGAGGCGGGCCGTGCGGAGGGGGCGGAGCCGAGCGAAGAGGGCCGGGCGAAGGGGCGGGGCCTGCCGTGCCCTCCCTAGCCCCGGCTCTGTGACCTTGGGCGCCGAGGCGCCGGGCGCGCGGGGGGCGTGGCGCGTGGCGGGCCGGCCTCCGTCACCCGCCTTATTAACACGGTCGGGGAGGTGTAATGATTATTGTTAGCGTTATTTGTTGGGGTGGGGCTATAAGGGATTAAATCTCTTGGAAATGACCACAGAGTAGCGATGTATCGAATGATTATTTGGCAAATTAATCGCCAAAATACTACAAGCCCATACTTGGCGCCAATTCTGTGCTAGGCGCTGAGGGTCCCACGGAGGAGTCAGAGCCCCTGCCCTCATAGAGCAGAAGGGTAAAGAGACTCGGGAGGGAGATCAGGAAAACAAAACGGGGAGGGGGATGGGGGACAGGGCATGTGTGGGGTGCACCCCCAGGAGGCGCTCAGAGGGAAAGACTGCGGCTGAGGTTCTGGAAGAGGACCCTCAAATGTGAACTGCTGGGTGGGACTGAGCGTGGCCTATTTGCGGAAGGTTCTGGAGGCCCGTGTGGCTGGAGCTGAGGGTGAGGGGAGAGGGTGAGGTGACGTCACCGACCACAACCTGCTGTGCCTTGAAGCCTGGGGGGGCTGTCAGTTCCTCTGAGTGCGGCTAAAAGCCATGGGGGGGGGGCCCGCAGGGATGCCAGCTCCATGGACGTCTGGCTGTCCTGGGACAGAGGGTGGCCAGCCTTCCAGGAGTGTATCTGCTAAGGCTTAGAGAGCGTTTCAGCAGTGGAGCAGGTAGGGGCACTGTCAGGGTGCAGGGGCGCTGTCGGGGTACAGAGGTGCTGTTGCAGTGCAGGGTTGCTGTCGGGGTGCAGGGGCACTGTCGGGGTGCAGGGATGCTGTCAGGGTGTGTTTAGAGGCTGCACTAACAGGCCTTGGCACTGGGTTGGAGGTAGAGATGAGAGGAAGGGGACCTAGGCTGGCCTCCAGGTGTCTGCCCTGAGCACAGGTGGGCTCTGCAGTGGAGTGAAGGGAGCCGGCTCCTGTGGGATGGCACCAGGAGGTGGTTTGGGCTCTGTTCGGTCTGAGATGTCTGGAGACAGGAGCATGGGATGTGTGAATTTGGTACCCAAAGGGGAGGTCAGGGTGGGGGGTCGCCCCCTTGAGAAATCTGGCCCTAAATGAACAGTCGGGGCCAGCGGCACCCGGAGCGATGTCTTCTGCGGTGCTCCCTCGCGTGGGTGGGGCTCCGACAGGGGCGGGCAGTTTATGCAGGGTTAGGGTTTGCCAGGTGAGGAGGCCCATGGAGAGGTTCGGTAGGCTGGTGCTGGTGCATTTCAGCCGGCTGAGGAGGGAAGGAAAGACAAGAGAGGTGATGCCAAGGTCGAGGGTCAGTGGATCAGAGCCCCCGGTGGGTTGCAACATTGCTGGGGTGGAGACAGTAAGAAGTGCCTTGGAGGGACAGGTGGTGAGGTGGCCAGGGTAGGGGCCTTGACACTGATGCTTCACGGGTGGACACAGTAGCACGACCGTGGGAGGGGGTGGCTGAGGTGGGGTGTCAGAACAACCCTTGGGGCTAAGGAGACAGAGGGACTGGGAGGCAGGGGCTGGGCGGGTGGGCCACCTGGATGTCGAGGTTGCCCAGGCAGCAATGAGGGAGGGAGGCCGTGAGCCAGGGGTCTTCAAGGAGTGAGATGGGAGAGGCCAAAAGCAGGGTGGTGGCTGGTGGGAAAGTCTGGTGGTGTGCTTTCCCTGGGTACAGGATTTGGGAGGAGGAGGAAGGAGAGGCTGCCCAGGCCCTGGACTGGGGACGCAGAGCAATCAGGGTTCTTATCAACTCTGAACTTTGATAGACAACCCCCCCCCTTTAAAACTCCTGGTCATTAAAAATGCTTTCTTTAAAAAATTGGTTATTGCTTGTTAATGAGAATTCTGTACAAAAATTAAAGCAGTGCTCCTGGAGTAAAATGCATACCATCCCTCTGCAATGTGGGTACTGGTGGGACGTTCCTGGGGCAAGGGGGTGACCTCGGGGTGCCAGAGAGAGTGGGGATGAGGGGGGCAGTGGTGGAGATGTGGGGTGATGGAAGGAGACTCCGGGTGATGGGGAGATGTGGGGTGAAGGAGGCAGACGTGGAAGGGGTCCTGGGCACCCGCCGACAGGGTGAGGAGTGAGGAGTCCCCTCCTTTCACTGTGTGGCCTGCTGGGTGCCAGGCCTGGATTCAAGGGCCCACAGCACCCCCTACAGGGCCTGGGGGGCCTTGGTCCTCCTTCCCTCGACAAGTGTGACCCCATCCTCAGGTCCCGGTCGGGGAGGGCAGGTGTCACAGGGAGCCCAAGGCGCTGCCCACCTCCCCCTCCCCCACCCTGGGCCCTCACCTGCTGTACCCCTTTGCCCCTGAACTCCCCGCCATGGCCCTGTGCCTCCCCATAGACCCGGTGCTGTGGTCAGCAGAGGGTCAGGCAAATGGAGGGAGCTCTGAACTCCTGGGGCCTGCTTGGCTGGATGGCCCAAGCTCTGCCCACTGGGTTTCCGGAAGATTCCATTCTCAGCTGGCTCCTTGTGCCTCACTCCTGGCCTGGGCTGAACCAGCCACCGTTATAAAAGCTGGAGGCCTCCCTGGGGCGAGGCGGCTTTGACCTCCTGCTCCAGAGAGGACTGAGGAGGCTCTGCGGGTGGGTCACGTGGTGGACCCCATCCAGGGTGCACCCCATCTCAGCCTCAGCACCCTTCTGGAGGGAGGGAAGCTTCCTGGTCAGCTCTGGCTCCTGAGAGTGAGCAGGGGGTGGTCTCAGCCAAGCCCCAGACCCCTCTGGGCCTCAGTTTCCGCTTATGTCTCCCCAGTGGCCCCTGGGCTCCTTCAGGCCGAGTCCCCGATGGCTGCAGTGGCCGTCTGCCCTTCTGCCCAGTCAGCAGGGCCACTGTCCAGCCTGCCGTCCTCTCCAGGGCCCCTGAGGTCACTTTCCCTCCACCTGCCTGCCTGGCCCCCTGGCGTGCTGAGCCTGTGCCCAGAGCTGGCCACACCGCCTTGCTGTGGGTTTGCAGCTCCAGAAGAGGCTGTGGGGGCCCACCAAGCCTTTGAGACCCTCACTGTACCCTTCTGTCTAGGGTGTGCTTGGGGCGGGGGGTGGGTTGCTGGGGGGCGAGCTGGGCTGCAATTCTGTGTCCCACAGGGACCCCCCGGCCCATCCACCTGCAGGGTGGGTCTGTCGCAGGATGCCCTGGGATGCTGTGGCCGCTTCCTCCTCCCTGGTGCTCTGGGAAGTGACACTGGAGGTCAAGGTGGTCTCGGTGGCCCTCTGGGTCTGGACCCGGAGGCCGCAGGCATGCCTGGGCCCTCCCTCCACTTGCCGAGCGCCTCCCCGGCCTCGGCTTCCGGGGAGGCCCTCTGAGGGGATTCTTGGGGCCGCACACTTGGCTTCTCTGACCGTTATTAATGCCACGTATGCGGTGTCCTTGCACACGTGTGCCAGACCATGCAGGGGGAGGGGGTGGGCAGTGCAAGGGGAGACGAGGGGGCCTGGCACAGAAAGCACTGGCCTGGGGACCGTCTGTCCGTGTCTCCACATGACCTGCGTGTGGCTGCAGAGTGGGGGGCGTGCTGTAAGCAGCTGCTCCTCTCCCAGCCTAGGCTGGCCGGATCTTCATCTCCGAGACCTTGTAGGAGTAATTGTGGCCCTGGCCAGACTACCAGTTAATGCTGTCCGCACAACTCTTGTGGATGCCGGGCAGGTACTGGCCATTGAGGTTGGAGAGGTGGCAGTCATAGTACTACCAGGCCCCCTTGAACAGGGATGCACAACTGAACTGGCTGTTACTGTCATTGTCCTGGTCGTAGGTTGTGAACGGCTTGTTCCTATGGCTCCCCAAGGAGTCTCCTGGGAAAGACCAGCTCCCTCAGCTCCCTGGGCCCAGCAGAGCCCCATCCCGGGCCAGGCGGGGTGCAGCTTGTGGGACCCCTTCCACACCCCTGACAAGGGCCTTGAGTGTTCCTGTGGAACTACTTGCAGTTCCCCCAGAAATGGCCCCAGGACCAGCTTGTACTTCTCCTCTTCTCCAGACAGCTGGAAGGAGCTGTATTTGGCATAAGAAGTTCCACCTTTGAAATCCTTCAGGTTGACCTGGAGCTCCTGGTTCCCTGGCCGCCCTGTGGGAAGGAGGGGAAGGGAATAGTGAGGCACAGGCCTGGTAGGCAGGGTCTGGGCATGTGGGTGGCATCTCTCTTGGTGGGAAGCCTGGCACCGGGCCCAGAGCTCCACCCTACTCACCTCCAGCTGTGAGCCAGTGCAGGTGATCATTGCCCAGCCTGAACTCCGTGCCCAGGTGGCCAAAGCCTCTTTTGTAGGACTCCCAGTCCCGGAAGAAATCCACAGAGCCGTCCACGCGTCGCTGGAACACCTGTGGGGCAAGAGTCTGGGGTCTTGAGGAGCAGGGACCATGGGGGCACGGGCCCAGGTCCTGCATACCTACCCCCCCCACCCCCACCGTCATCCCCGTGTGGAAGAACCGTTACTGGAGGAGGGCACGATGCTGAGAAGCAGGTGGTGCAGGCAAGTATCAGGGAGGCAGCACGGATGCCCAAGGAGGAGGGCTCTGCCAGGTGCACCAGGAGGGTCTCCCACCCATTCGCTCCCGTGCACTCACGTGGATTCTGGTCCACATGTGCTGGGGCTCTCCTGCTTGGAGGCGCTGCCTTTTCTCTGCCCATTCTGCTGTCTGCAGTCTCGCTGTGGCGAGCCAGCCTCAGGTGCCCCATGAGGTCACAGTCCAGCCCCCGCCATCCACGTCCATGTCGCAGAGCACGGTCAGCGGCTGGCAGTTGGGGAGGTAGATGGTGTACCAGCGGGTCAGGGAGCCCCCCTGGGCCAGCACGTCCTTGCAGCTCCGGGCCCCTGCAGGGCAGGGAAGGGGCTGGGGGTGCAGTCCCAACTCGGGGAGGCTCGGCCTGCCTGGCAGTTGTGTGGGGGAAAGCAGAAGGCCAGGGTGGCCCTCTGGACGTGTGGGGGGTGGGCAGGGGCTGGGGTCACTCACCTTGCTGGCACAGCGCGGCCCACAGCTCCTTCTTCCCTGGGCAGGAGACACAGGTGCCTTTCTCTGTGTCTGTCCCCTCCCCTCCACAGACACTCAACCCCTGGGGCACCCTCAGGATTGATACCCCAAAGCCCACCTTTACCCCTGCACAGACCAGCTGCCAGGTCCCCATCAGCACTGACCTCCACCCCCCCCACCTGCTCCAGGCTCCTCTGGGGGCCTCTGGCCACCCCCTGGGTCTCTGTGACCCTCTCCAGAGTCAGGACCAGGTCATCATGCTGGCCTGGGGGAAGTGGGTGGGCCCCCAAGTCAGTTTGGCCCTGAGGCTGGGATGGTGGGCCGGTGCGGGTGAGCCCTCCCTCCAGGGTCTCCTTGGGCCCCAGGGCCCTTCTGTTCTCCTCCTGTTTCGAGCCCACCCACAGGGTCCCAGGACCTCAAAGTGCAAGGTGAGGGATGCACGCGCTTTCTGGGAGACTCTGGTCCGGGAATGTTCTCACCCAGCAAGGCCGCAGCCCCCTTGGAGCCTTTCTCCCCTGGAGAGAGACAGGGTGCCAGCTTGGTCTCTGGAGCCGGGCTCCCCCCACCCGAGCCCCCTGCCTTGTCCCCCTAGCACCCAGCCTCCTGCCTGGGCTGTGAGCCCCCTAGCACTCTGACATGCAGAGTGAGGCCTGGGCATGGGTCGGGGGGCTGGCTGCAGGCCCTTCCCAGGGGTGCTCCTCTGCGTGCCTCCCCAGGTGCACCTCTGGGGGGGTGCTGCTGGGGGTCCCCACCACATGGACTAGAAGGGGTCCTCCCTTCTCTGTCCTCAAGGCTCCCATTAGAGCCCACGAGACCCCAACCCAAGATCTCTCCACCTGGAGCTCTCCCTCCTGTCCCCTCCTGGGAGTAGCCTTGGCCACCAGGCTCACCTCTGTCTCCGGGGGTCCCAAGAGCTCCTCGCTCTCCTGTGGGCGGAAGGGGCGTGTCTCACAGTGCAGACCCTGCTGAGGAGCTGGTGCCTGGCCCCACGAGGGGTGCCCTCTCTGCCCCTGCAGGCTGTGTGGGTGTGCCTGTGGGTGCACCCGAGTGTGTATGCGTGTGTGGATGTGGAGGGGTGGCGGGAGGACCCTCGCACACCTCGCCTACTGGGAAGTGGTGGTGGGGGGACGGAGCTGGCCAGAACCTGGGCGGAGGAGGGTGTGGAGGATGGAGTGCAGCTGCCCTGCTCTCCTGCATCCTGCTAGACCCTGGGCAGAGAGGCCAGGACGCCCCTGTTCCCTTAGCTCCCGGCCGGCCCCATCTTCCCTGGGCTGCCTGGGGGCCCCCCGCGCTCCTGCAAACACAAGGGCTCGATTGGACCCCATACCCTGGGTGAGAGAGGAGGCAGAACAACCCCTGCGCTCCCCCCCACACCAGGCACCCACCTCTCCCACCAGGGGCGCCTGGTTCCCCTTTGGGCCCCGGCAGGCCAGGAGAGCCAGGGCAAACCTGGACGACGGTCATCTTGTCCAGGGCCCCCAGACCCACGATCTTCACTTCTGCACGCAACAGGGGAGGGTGGGCTGCAGGCCAGCGCCCCGCCCCTCCCCCAACACCCCCGGGGGGCCATCCTGTGCCAGCCCACACCCCATTCTCCTGTCCCCCCCACCACCTGCCTCCCACGTGTCCATACCGGAGGGTGTGCTTATGCTGTGTGCACATGCGGTGTGCGTGTGCGTGTGTGTGAGCTGATATATCTGAGCAGTCCCCTCTTACCTGGACAAGTGCCTCCCTCCTGGCCCAGGGCCTGGGACGGGGAGAGACAGAGGAGAGGCACCAGGGTCCAGAGGGCAGGCCACCCCATTCCTCTGTGCTAGCCGCTCCCTGGTTCCAGACCTGGGTCCCTGAGGCATCCAGCTGGCTAGTGAGGCGCAGGCATGGCCCCTCCCCTGCCTGGCCGAGCCCTGCTCCAGCGTGGGTGGGTCTCCCATTCCTCACAGCTCAGCTTTTCTCCACAGAAATGGAACCCAGGTCAAGTGCAAACACACCACTTCCTCCACCTCGCCCGTCTGCAGTCTGTGCCCCAGTGTCCTTCCCAACAGACGGGCACAGCACCCCCCACCCCCCCACCCCACCCCAACCCACCCAGGGTCCTTCCTAGAATCACACATGCTGTGCTCAGGGTGATGCTGGCTCGGATAAGAGGATGTGAGGACACCCTCCCCTGTTCCTTCCCCCTTCTCCTCTCCCTCCCCCTTTTCCTCCTCCCTCCCCTCTTCCCCTCTCTCTCCTCCCTCACCCCTCCCCCTTCCCTCCTCCTCCTCTTCCTCCTCCTCCTTCCTCTTCTCCTCATTCTCATTCTTAGTGAGGCTGCCCCAGTGAACCTGCAGGCCCGTCACAAGGGAGGATCCCCAAAGCCAGAGGCTGGCTCCAGGCGGGAAGCGTGGCCTAGAGCCCAAGCAAGTGCCGGCGAGTGCTGAGAGCTCTTGGCCGCCTGCCATCCAGCGCGTGAGGCGCTGCCCTGGGTTAGTGAGAGGAGCGGGGCACAGAGGGCCTGGCTGCTGGGCGGTGGGGGAGCTGGGGCTGGAGCCAGGCCGGCCTACGTCCTGCCCACCACACAGGCTACAGCCAGTGAGCGGGGTGCTGGTGAGGACCCAGGGGCAGGAGCATTTGAAGGCCAGCTGCCTGGCTGTGGATCCCAGGTGGGGGTGGCCACAGGAGCCATACACCGAGCCCCCTGTGGAGGTGCCCCCCGGGGTACAGCAGAGGTGCTTGCCCTGCCCCCCCAGCAGAGCCCTCTGTCCGCGACTGGCTCGCCTGCCTCTGCTCCCGGCTCTCCCTGCTGGGGTCCAGCCTTGGCTCTGGCTGGTCTCTGGGCACCTGCCACCTCCAGAGCTCCGGATGGAGGCCCTGTGCTGGCAGCGGTCAGTGGTAGTCTGGTGGCCATCCCCCGAGGGGGTGGAGGCTGTGGGCCCAGTAGCCTGACGGGGGGCAGGGAGAGGGTTAGAGCCCCCAAGTCCTTTCCTGGGCACCCAGAGACGTGAAGGGTGTGTGGGCCCCGTCTCTGCCTTGCCCTGGGGTCTCCCTGACCTTCAGGCAGTGTGGGTTGGGTGGGCTCTGTGCGCTCCCCCTGTGGCGATAGGTGGGAATTCAAGGGACACCACCCTGGGAGCGGGACTGGCCCATCTGCGGGGTGAGGGCCCCCCACCCCGCCCGCCTGCAGCAGGCAGGAGAAGGGGTGAGGGAGAGACAGCAGGGAGGGCTCCTGCTGCCCGGCCCCTTCAGCCAGGTGGAGTCTGGTGAGGCTCCACGGGCTGCCTGTGCTCAGGACTGTCTCCTGGACGCCAAGTGGGGAGAGGGCTCTCTATGACGGACCCCATGGCCGCTGACCCTAGGAGCTGCTGTGGGCACTCTGTCCTGCCCAGAAGAGCGGTCTACAGCTGGAGCGTGTCTCTCCAGAGTTGGGACCAGGTCCAGGGCCAGAGTCCGGGGGGCTGGGTGTGTCAGTGTTGCCTCCCTCTCTTTGTTTGCATCCTCCTGGGGCCCACTCCTCCTGCCTCCCGCCCAAGTCCCCGGATATGCCTGAGCATTCACGCTGGATTCTGCCCTGTCCACTCTGGGAGTCAGTCCTGACCCCAGATGACAACGCCCAGCTCTGGGGCAGGGAGATGGGAGGGGAAGGTGGCCAGGGCAGCCTGTGACGGACAGCGGATGGCCGGTGGGCGAGGCCCATCAACCCCTGTGACTATCAGCCCAAATGGCCAGGACTTGGTCAATAACTGGGAACTTCCCTAATTTCTGTCCCTGCCTCCAATTTAGGACCAACGGGAGAAAGCCAAATATGCCCCCCAACCAACTGCATGGAGGCCTGCTTGTTCCCATTGGGTGGTCTTCATTTATTTCCACCGTCATAATTTCTCTTTTACATTTTGTTTTGGTTATTAAAAAAGAAATTCTAAATATTCCTACAGAAAATCAATCAATCTTTATTTTACCTTTTCTGATTTTCTTAACCTTGGTGCATGTCAAATTAATTTTTTTCTACGAGCATTGTTACAATTTCAGTTTCATGATCTACCTGGAATTTATTTTGATGTAAGAAGTGAGATAATGATCTAGCTATGTGTGTGTTTTCTAAATGGTCCCTAATGGTTGGCAGTTTTATTTAGCGGGTGTTCAAGTTTTCTCCACAGATTTGAAACATCTGCTTCATCATATGCTGAATGCCCCTGTCATTTGTTTCTATTCTCATTTTTCTAGCTTCTTCCATTATTCTATTTATAAATCATACCATGTTCCTACTGGCTATGATTTTATCACAGGTTTTATCACAAGTTTTCAGGTCTTGTAGAACTAGTTGTCTGTTTCTACTTTTCCTTTGCAGAATTTTTTAGCTTTTTCATAGGAAATTAGAGCAATTTTTTCTAGTTAAAATTTTTAAAATTGGAATTCCATGAAACTTATAGATGTTGAAAGTTATAGATAACGTGTGTTTTTTTTAGGATTGTCACTGGAATAAACATTTGACGAGCTGCTTTTCCAACATCGGCCAGCCCTGACCCTTTCCTGGAGGGGCCCCGACCCTTTCCTGGAGGGGCCCCGACCCTTTCCTGGAGGGACCCTGACCCTTTCCTGGAGGGACATGGCGGGCACACTTGCATTAGGAGAAAGTGGGGAGTTTGTTTACAAAGAAACTATTTATCCAGACATGGGTGGGGTGTAAGGGAGCCCCCAGGGCCAGGGCGGATACAGAAGGCCCAGAGCAGCAACGCTGACCGCCCCCAGGTCAAAGGGTAGAGGGGAGGGCACAGAGGAGAACTCTGTAGATGAGGCCCCTCCAGAGACCTTAGGGTGGGGGACCTGGCCAGCACAAGGTGACCTGGGTTTCCCCCCTCCCATCTCCTGCAGGGGCTCCCCATGGCTGAGCCCAACTGGGCAGGGGGCAAGGGGGCCCTCGACATCGTCCACATAGGTTGGTCTTCCTCTGTGGTCAGCAGGGTGGAGGGAGGGAAGACCTGGAGGTTCTTTCTCCTCTTCTGAGGGCAGTTTTCTTGGATTAAGAAATGCCCTCAGGGGCACGGAGCGGTGCCAGGAACCTGACATCTGACTCTAAGCTGGGCCACACCTCTTGGGGACAGGGCTGGGCCTGGGGGAGATGGACGGCAGCCTTGGCCAACCAAAGTCAGTGGGAGCTTGCTGGAAAGATAACAGGGCTCCTGGATTAGCAGGAGAACTGAATGTGGTGGTAGTTGGGGCAGCTCCCTGGGCTGGTGAGCAGGAACCTGAACAAGAGCCTCAGAAAGGAAGCATTGTGTCGGGGGCCGTGCTGGGGGCACAGAGCTCCAACCAGCCCCTGAGTCCTGACCCTCTTCCCCTCAAGGCTCACATCCCGGGGAGGGCCTCCTCCGGGCTGGGACTGGGGAATGTTCTGCCTGCTGGGTGGCAGCCCCACCCACCTGTGCCCTCAGCCTTCATGGCCTGCTGCCGTGCGGCTGGGCAGGGAAGAGGCACAGGCAGCCAGGTAGATCCCACCTCACCCAGTGGCACCCATGCCAGGCTGACAGTGGTGGGTGCCCTGAGCGTGGCACGGGGGCAGGCCTGCTGCTGCCTGAAGGCCCCTCCCCGGCCCAGCATCCTCCCCATGAGTTGGCCTGTCTGGGGAAGGGCACTTGGAGGAGCTCTGGTTCCCGCCTCCTGGGTAGTTGTCCTTCAGCCAGGCTGGGCGGGGAGCTCACCCTCCCAGAAGCTCGGGGGTCCTGGCTCACGGGAGGCTTTGTCCCCTCCCCTCCTCTCGCCTGGAGCTCCGGGAATGCCCAGATGTCCCTGCCTCCCTCTCTGCCTCCCTCTGAGAGGGGAGGAGGTGGCCTCTCCGTGGCCGTGGCCTTCCTTGACCCTTAGCAGGGCCCCTCTTCGTCCGCCCGCAGGTGGGGAGCACCCCGTGGGGAATCTGTCTGATTCTGCCTCTGCCCAGGAGGGGTCCCACAAGTGTGTCGACCTTAAAAATAAAACAGCCAGTTATTGCACCAGCAAGATGGGTTTACTCGGGAATACAGAGGAACTGCAACTCGAGGGACGAGAGGCTGCAGCAAACACCACAGGCAAGGCCAGCAAACAGAGGAGAGGAGCGTCCCTTTACAGAGAGGAAGGAGGGCGTCGGGAGGGGCTGTCTGAAGGAAGTCCACTGGAGGAGAGCGGGAGTTCAGGGTGGTGACGGCTTCTCACTGGCTGAGCTGTGGGGTCCTGGGTTTCCTACAGGAGAAGCAGGTACGTCTCTCCTGTTGGGGCCGGTAATTGACCATCTTCCTGTGGTTGACATGAGTGGTGCTGCTGAGAGCTCCCCCTTCTGGCCTCCCCACTCCATTGTGGTGAGGTTTCCCTTTATTAATTTTCACAAGTGTTTGCTGGGGAAGCAAAGACCAGGGCGTGGTCCCAGTTTCAGAGAGGCCACCTCCCCTGCATCTTTCACATCAGGCTGGACCAGCCCTGGCTGACTGTACCATGGGCTTGGCTGCCCTCAGGCACTGCCAGGGTGTCGAGGCTCGGCTGACCTGGGCCCTGCAGGCCTTCCCTGGGTGCCTCCGGTGGCAACTAGCTGCACCTGGGGCAGCCCTGGGCTGAGAGCTGCTTAGGAGGGCCAGGCCAGCCCCTGTTGCATGCCCACCCAGCCCTGTAGCCCTGGGGTCAGAGGCCGGGCAGGGAGAGTGCCTGAGGCACTCAGGGTGAAGGCCGGCTCCTTCCTTCACCGGCTCTTCCCAAGGGAAGTGAGAGGGAAACAAAGTCAGCTGCTGTCCAGCAGTGACGTCTGCCCAGTGCCCACCAATCGGTGTGGGCTCTGCCTCATGAGGCCAACTAAGAACACCCCGC